TGATTCAGAAAGATGGACACAATTTCAATTGGCTATATTTCCTGAATTATATGTTGCATTTGAATTCTGTAAAGTACATTTGAAAGAGGATGTTGTAAAGTTTCTAATACTACTGCTAGAGCACTCCAGCACCGCGTCAGTTGTAAGCGAGATGGCTACTATGCAACACAAGAATTTTTGCATTCATGACTTCAGTAAAAGTGAGTCTGTGACTGCAGTGCAGTGTGCATCTCACACCCTCCGACTTTTTCCTGTGGGGATTCGTGAAAGATGCAGTTTTACGTACCACCTCTTCCCACAAATTTGAATGACCTAAGAAGCCGTATCACAGCTGCGGTGAACTCAGTGATGCAAGATATTTGTCATCGAGTGTGGATGAATTCAGCTACCGTCTAGATGTTAACCGTGCAGCCAGAGGGGGGCACATTGAACATATATAAACTTCCATGTATGTATAATCAAATGTAATTTACAGAATTCAAATGGAACATATAATTCAGGAAATATAGCCAATTGAAAGTGTGTCCATCTTTCTGAATCACCCTGTATATATAGTCGCGTTTTGCCCATGCAGCGCGACAAATAACTTCACGTGGGTCTCGGATTTAGCGAATATTTATTGAACGCTCATTTTTACACGATCAGCTACAATCAGTATCACTTTTACTGCTATGCGATTCCACTCACTCGAAGCCTTGTAATCTGGCATATGTCCAGCAACATTTTATTTTCCTTTAAAAAGTAAAGAACACAGTCTGAAGATAATTGTTGTCCTCTCAATGTCATCCAGACCGGCCCTGGGGCCCATCCAGTCTCCTATCCAAACGGTACCGGGGGCTATTTCCTCAGGGGTAGAGCGGTCGGGGCGTGAAGTTGACCACTGACCCCCAACTTGTTCTGAAGTCAAGAAAATGTGGATCTATACATCTATTTCCCCCTACGTCTTAATGGCGTGCTGCTTAATTACTTAAGCACAGGAATAACTTTAACTTCATGTTTACTATTTGACCATAAAGATGGAAGCATTACGTTGCTCCGAAACGTTGGTCGCATCCTGCTGTACTAAACAGTGTCCTCTACCAGAAGACCGCGCTCTTCGTTGTCTGGTTATCATTTCACAGCGAAACAAATATCACTAATTTCGAAAACATTCTAAGTAAACTGTTGACTAATAAGGAAAAAATGTGTATTATGTAGAGTTTTTCCTTATTTTCCGTTTATTTAGTATGCATCACACAGCCTACAAATGTACACAAATATTTTAAGAGATAATATACATTTGTAGTCGTCAAAAAATAATTCTTTCACTTCTATTTCATAAAAATTGCAAGGACACTAAGGGAAAACCACGAAAGTGAAGAGGGATGAGCAACTTAGGTTTACAATCTCTGTAACAGGCCGTGGAGGGACAGAGGGTTCTGAGACATCGACTCCCACATTTTCTAGAAAATCGGCTCATAGATGGCGATGAGGTTGTCAGCATTACGCACCGGTCATAAGCCCTTTATCCCAAGGAAGATTCCTGGTACTCATTTCTGTTAGAGGCTGAATCGATGCCAGGGCCATACTGCGGCTGGAAGGATTTGGTCAATTGAAGAATCCAATGACGTCATCGGGAATCGAAACGGAGACTTTGTGGCTTGTAGCATGATGCCTCAAGAACAACGCTATCGCGTGCTCCATTTAGATTTATAATTCATACATAAAACTGTGACGTGATGAAAATTTGTTGTGTTCAGACTTGGAATCAGCGCATCAGAATTTATACAAAACAGTCTTTTATAAACTTGAAAGGATTCTGACGATGGCGTATGCTGTAGAGAACTGTCAGGCTATTTTGCACTTTATCCATCGTCTGGTATATATAAGTCCAATGATTGAGACTAGCTCTTTCTAACGGGCCCAACAGAGTAGGTCTACCCTGCCCCGTCCACCTGTGGAATGAGACAGATCCAGTCTCCGAAACGTTGTGGTTTTTTGTCTTATATATACCAGACGATGGATAAAGTCCAAAATACGCCTTATAGTTCTGTATAGTCTTCTATGTTACTAAAATCTTGTTGACTAATTCCATAAGAACTGCGTTTTCCTTCACTACTTTCATTGCGACAAGAGATCTTAACGTTTATAGTAATGACTATCTCTGCAGTTTGCAAGTTCTGTGTCACGCATTAACGTCCACGCAGAAAACTCTACAAGTCTGAGGCTTGCACTGACTCGACATGTGACGCAGAGGCAGGCTACTTCAGTGTTATTCCTCGTGCGGCCATTTTTATGGGGAACAAAATAGCAGCAAGAATATACAGCTCGAACCAGAACAATAGGGATTCCTTTCTCCAATGTTAAATGGGGACACCGAGGTTAAACGACGTTAAAACACTGAAAAGGCCGTTGGTAGTAGAGCACATAAATCAAACAGACCCCAAATTACAATTAAAAGACGACAAAAGGAATGTTAAAAAAGGTAAACCACGCTGACTGGATGAACATCGGACCATGGCTCCAACAGAAACTCCAAGCCAAGGGAACAAAACACCTAAGTATATCTCAATATAAATCGTACCAATCGACGAAACAGAAAAAGAAAAACAAGATATAAGAATATAAATAACTTNCACCCTCACCTATCCCCTGGGGCTGGTACAATAGGCCAAAGTGGCCGCAGTAGAAGGGACTCCGTCCAACCCCACTATAAATAAAAATGTATTACAAATGAACAAAAAGTAGTGGTTTTACATTTTAATAGATTAGTTTATTTTCTTGCAGTTCCACTACTTAAACGTATATTATAAAGACCAACAATGTAACTTGTAATGGTACTGCATTTTCTTATTACATGTATGCATGAGGCCCCGATCGGCTAATAACAAATAGATTTAGGTTAATCCCGAAAATAAGAGACAAGTATGTTAAATAAATAATAATAAGGAAGTTTATATTCATTCATATTACGTTGTTCTGAATTATGTCATTTTGTACTACTGTGTATGGGTAGGTAATTTACCTTGCAACTTGCTGGCTGCTTGTTTGGCTTACTCCTTGAGCTTGACAATGGTAGAATTACCTTCTTCCGAATCTCAGGAAACTTTAAGCAACTTATACGGGATCTTATAACAGATGACAATGTTCTTAAATCTAATAATTTACAACGTTTGTGATTTTTGTGATAACTTTACAGGAAAACGAAGGAGACAAACTGCAAAATAGTATGACCGATATCGGATTCTGTGACTGCGTTATTATTTCCGTTACTTGTAGTCACTGCTCTGTTGTAATTCACTATATAAGCGGCTTCACGAATCATGAACTAGGCAAGCTTCACGGAAAGAAAACAACAGAAGGCTGAACAAGAGGCAGTACTTCTAAATATTATATTGTGTGTTTTTGCCCTGCTTATCAACTTTTGAAATTCATGGCATACTTACATTTAAAAATTTATCAGAAACATTGAAATGTCAACATAATGCGTGATTTATTGTACATTCTAGCTTAACCATTATCAGATGGAAGCAGAACAATACCCAAACTGGGGCAGTAGTGCCAAACGGGGGGAAAAAACAATATTACACCTTCTTATATATACCAGACGATGGATAAATTCCAAAATAAGCCTTATAGTTCTGTATATTCTTCTATGTTACTACAATCTTGTTGACTAATTTCATAAGAACTGAGTTTTCCTTCAGTACTTTTAATGCGACAGGAGATCTTAACGTTTATACTGAAGACTATCTCTGAAGTTTGCAAATTCTGTGTCACGCATTATCGTCCACGCTGAAAACTCTACAAGTCTGAGACTTGCACTGACTGGACATGTGACGCAGAGGCAAGCTACTTCAGCGATATTCCTCGTGCGGTCATTTTTATGGCGAACAAAATAGCAGCCAGAAAATACAGCTGGAACCAAAACAATAGGGATTTCTTTCTCCACCGTTAAATGGGGTAACCGAAGATTAGAGTTATCAGAAAACGTTGAAACACTGAAAAGGCCGTTGGTAGTAAAGCATATAAATCAAACAGACCCCAAATTACAATTAAAAGACGACAAAAGGAATGTTAAAAAAGGTAAACCACGCTGACTGGATGAACATCGGACCATGGCTCCAACAGAAACTCCAAGCCAAGGGAACAAAACGCCTAAGTATATCTCAATATAAATCGTACCAATCGACGAAAAATAAAGTCAATTCACAAACAGAAAAAGAAAAACAAGATATAAGAATATAAATAACTGGAAATCGAACAATTAAATGGTACACGCAAACATAACTTCAATAACAAAAGAACAACTCTACAAAAATGCGAATCAATGCAAATCACATGAATCGGCGAAACGTTGCAGAGGCTTCATGAGGCCTTGAGGGCACGCGGTAGCGCAGTTAGTTCGGGCACTATGCTACAAGCCGGAGGTAGCGGGATTGAATCCCGATGAGGTGAATTCTTTCAATTGACGACCTAATTATTCCAGCCGCGCTATTGCCCTTGGATCGACTCAGCCTCTAACAGAAATAAGTACCAGGAATATTCCTGGGGGTAAAGAGCGGCCGACGTGTAAGGCTCACAACTTCACCGCCATCTGTGAGCCGATTGTCTAGAAAACGTGGGAGCCTCAACATCTCACAACCCTTGAGCCTTCACGGCCCGTTACAGGGATGTCTTTACTATTCACTTTTACTTTCATGAAGCATTATGACAATATATTCACTACTCAAATTGCCTGTTTACTTAACACGAGAAACGTACAGTACATCACTGCAAATATGCGAGGAGATAGATTATCAACAGCCGTGAACATTGGAGGGCATTCGGAACTCGATTAAAAGTGGACACACTACAACACTACAGAGAAAGATTACACACCTAATAATTTACATGGAGGCGACACAATACACAGGACATCATTCACTACAGTACAATCTACCGTATAAAAACTGAACGAGCTATATCAGATGCTCTTTTAAATCATTAAAAGCTTAGGAATCCATTGAGGGTTAGAGCCTTCTGACATCTTACTCCTTTAGTCTTATAACTGCCGCGCCATAGCTCAAGCGGTTAGTCGCTAGGTTCCCACCGCGTTCTGGTCAAGTGGGATTTATGGTGGACAAAGTGGCGCTGGTGCAGGTTTGCTCCGAGTACTTCGGTTTCCCCTGCCAATCTTCATTCAACCAATTGCTCCACAATCACCCTCACCTATTATCTGGGGCTGGTACAATAGACCAGAAGTGGCCGCAGTACAAGGGACTTAGTCCCACCGCACTAGCATTAAAAAATAGTCTTGAAACTGGAAACCAAATTGTTGGAGGAAACTACTGCCTCCATCTTCAAGGATGAAGACGCACGTGTCTATACAACTACAGGAAATCTTCTACATTCCAACCGCTGTGAGAACCTCACATCTCGTAATCTAATAATTGCAGCCCTCCGAAATTACGAAGCAAAACAATTCCATCTTAATGGCATTAGCCATTAAATGCAGGAGAGGAATTCAACAAGTAAAACACAACTGGATACAGACTACAGCAGAGTCACTGATTGTCGTGCCAGGCACCCACATCAGTCATGTTGCCACAAGTGAATACCGCACGGAGAAGTGTACACATTCTAGTGGAAGGTCGACATTTCTAAAACCACAACGAAGAGCCAAGTCTGCGAAACGTTTACGAAAATGGGAAGAACCTGAGGATGCGAAAATATATGACAAGATATCGACGCAACTAACTGATTTAAAAGAACAACACTTTCGGGGCTACATAAATTGAATGTTAAGGAAGACACAATCATTTTAGATCCTTCATAATATTGTATAATGTTTAAGTATTCATTATATCAAATTTACATACTTTTGGAAGTCGTACAGTGTTGTGAGTGGTAATGTTTTCACTGAGGCACCCTTAATTTAAAATTACAGTTTATCATTTGCGTTGCAAATACAAAACACATCCATGCAGAAAAAAGAACTAACTAAAATGGTTTCAAAGTCAAATACAATAATAATAGTAATAACAAAAATATGAATAATGGCAGTACAAGATTACATTAGTTCGTCTTTTTAATAACATCCCGTTTGGAGCCACCGCACATTTTCCCCAGCAACTTCCTGAGTATCAAAAACACTAAGAAAACAATCGATCCTACAGCTAGCGTCAACACAGCGATGACATCTAGCAGGAAGTACTGGTACCAGGTGAGGTCGAGTGCAGCGGAGCGCATGTGAGGAGCTCCCTTGTGTCTGATCACGTACTCCGTCCAGAACGCGGCCTGCTCCAGTGGTGTGAGTGGCTGGTCCCGGTAGATTCGGGACAGACGTTGCATGTTTTCACGGTATCTGTAACATTATACATGACTTTGTGGGATGTTGTGGAATGTGGGAATTTGACCTTCATATTCAATATGTCTTCTTTCATGCTAAGTTCAGTCTCTGCATTTACTGTCAGTACAAATTTATTTCGTAAATTTGAAATGTATCATATTTCTACAATGAGTCATAGAGCCGTAGATACCTTCACCAAATTGGCGGAATTACCGCTGCAACTGATTCGTCGATGAAGTTTGTTTCTCTTAAAAATAAACGTTATATTATAAAGAAATATTTTTGGCATTTAGCAAATTACTCATTTAAACCTAAGTAAGTTTGTTTCTTTTGCCACATTTGTCATAAAATAAAAATTTCCAGGTTTACGTTTCATATAGTTACAATTATCTTACCTTGGATTGTTCAACACTTCATTTACTGCCCACAACACAGAGTCAGTCGTGATATTTCCAACGTCCAATTTTATTCCTATACCAGCAGAAACGATCTTGGCCAAGTTGTAACCCTGGTCCCCATATATTGGTATCCCCACAATTGGTATACCTCGAACAACTGCTTCCTGAGTACTCAGCAACCCGCCATGCGTCATGAAGAGTCGCACATTCGGATGCGCTACGTAAAGAAACGTGTTGAAATTTTATACACTTCCATAAATTTTCGGCAATCTTACTTAAACCGATAATTAGGAATTAACTGATTCCCCAGCGAGTGTCTAATATCGCGTCTGGTAATCTTAATCAGAGAGAGAAGCACGAATTTTCTTACATTAATAACACCATTAACAGCAGGCAAAGACAAAATAAGACAAGAGCATACAAATGTTCTGAAGTAGGCATTTCAAATTTAACTTAAGTGGACGCTAGTTCATAATAAATCGTGGAAACTTACCTAAAATGTCGGATTGTGGCAGCCACTTTCCAAGTTTGACATTGTTGGGTTTCCCTGGTAACGACTCCGTCTCCCACTTCCACAGTACCTTCTGCTTCAGTTTAGAGAACGCTTGGAGCAAAGCATTTCTCGTCGCGTTTTTCATATTAGAGCTACGTAAATTGGATCCCATACTAAAGAAAATCACACCGTCTGATGACTCGTCTAGATATCTTTGAAGGTCCTGTGAATATTCACATTCCATTAAGTCTCCTTGCTCAGAATTCATAAATGGAAATTTATTCTTAAGAATGTTTCAGGAATCAATGAACACACCGCGCAAGTTTCATATATCAGGAGAAAGTATTATCGTGTGAAAAACACGACGAGCCCCCACTAATTAGTTGAAAACAAAGATGTAAATCAACCACCTTCTTCAAAGTATGACGTTCAAAGAATACAAAATAGCACTAAATTAAACGAAAGAAAGGCAGCCTCTCACTAATATTAACGAAATTGGCGACATCATGCCTATATCGCGGACTTGGTGATGTTAAAATAATTATGATTATTTTTGTCTGGTCATTTCTTGGAGATGAACAGTTGACAATTCAAAAAGTTATCGCCTACTTAGTTAAGACAAATTTTATGAGACTGATTCGAATGTTCAGTTAATTAAAATTATTTCCTAGAACTAGATTTGTCAACATAACTTTGCAGAAGGATTTCAGAGATACATCAACTTTCTTACCTACAGCTGCTTCAGAAGGGACATCATTATATAATCAACCAATCATGAATTTTAAACGACCCTGCCAAAGATTCGTTTATGTTAAACTGTGGTTCAATTCAACCCTACGACTTTCTGCAACTCAAATGGAATTTATACTCTGTAAGATTTGAGGTTTCATAGCGGTGACTATGAAGAATGCTGTCTTCTGTGGATGTGGTGCCGTGTGGAGCTTGTATGAAAAGATGTTTCGGAGGAAAATATCGCCTCCACCTTCAGGGTAGAAAAATCAGCGAGCGAGAAAACAGCGTGATCAAGTGGCTCGCTCGCAGATTTTTCTACCATGAATATGGAAGTGATATGTTCATCCGAAACGTCGCGTCACACAAAATCTACATGTACCACATCCCACAAGACGGCATTGTTCATGAAACTATACTCTAAGGAAAATAATCCCTTCAGCATTTTACAATCACGTCTTCGTGTTCACACGCACAGTATGTCTTCATGCGCAACTTTTCACATATTTCTTGCACAACCGTCATAACCATTAATTCTTTTGCTAACACGGTCTGTGGAAAATGAGTTAAAATGTGTTCAGTGTCTCTGTATATTGTATGGCATTTCTACTTACAGCGCACAATTTTTTCGGGGGAGAGATATGCATTCCCCCAACCTCCACCATATTGGGCATCAAAGGTCTTGGGTAGCTAGTGCTGAAATGGTTGTTAAACAGGATAAGGGCTGTTGACTTTTGCAGCTCCCAAATTGATGGAATGTCGTTGCTATGCAGATGTTTTCTTAAAATAGCATCGTGTTGCGGTATGACATAAAATATTCTTCCCAATTTTGCGTGTATTTCTGTAAGAGTGTTATGAATTCGCTGCCACAAATTCATTCTTTCACTGTGTTCCTGGAGTATTTCAGGGACGTAGGCATATGGACTCGGATTTGCAAACCATTCGTCCATCCATTCTCTTCCCCCAAATGGACATATTTTAACTATTGGTATATTTAGCTTATAACCCATGCCAAAAACACAATCATACGTAAAGGCGCTGGTAATGAGAAGGTCAAATTCTTCTTTGCTAGAGAAGAGAAGCCTCTGAATTGCGTCGTCTTGCAAAAATATGTTGCAAAGTCCGATTCCAATATCCCAAAATATCTTCTCTGTTTGGAAGAACCATAACTTGTCCATGTTGAACATATCCAACATGCCTGGAACTGTAAGCATTCAACATACATTCTACGGTTCAATATTCACGGTTATTCATAAGTCCGTGAAACATTTTAAAAATACACAACAAATAAACTATGCATCGGATCGCGGTAATTCTTACGCCGATAGAGAATGAATCTCTCCAACTGCTAATCTCGGGGATCTTCGCAACCGTATCACCGCTGGTGGGGCTCTGGACAACCGTGATATGCAGACACGGGTGTGGGAAGAAACGGATTATCGCATAGATGTCTGCCGTATAAGCAAATTTGAACACGTTGAGCAACTGTGAATTACGTAGAAAAAAAACTTTGGTGAATTTATCTGTATTTCAGTATAATAAAATTTGGTATCCACTGCGTAATTTATTTATTGTACATTTTCAAAATGTTTCGTGGACTTATGAATATCCCTGTATAATAATTTTTCTTATGATGGTCGTTCAAATCATGTATATCTGGTCACTGTTTCAATGAACATATCTATAAAATTTTGTTAAGTTCATTTAGCTCCCGCCAGAAGGGAGACAAATGCAGTCTTCAGTCCCTGTACGTGCTTATTCTTTTAAGTCGAAACATTTTCAAATTTGCTACCCGTTAGAAAGAGATACAGCATAGGATTTAGGAATGTTAGAACTAAAAATTTAGCCGCTTTGATTGAAAAGAAACTCACGCAAATATTGACTTATTCACCCTGCTCACGCTGGTTCCCTCGCGGATTTCTTCTTGTCTTCTACCCTGAACATGGAAGCGATACGTTCCTCCAAAACATCGATTAACAATATATCTACACGGCGCCACATCCCAGAAGACTGCTTTCATCAAATATTAATAGGGTGTTAAAGATGACGCCTTAGCATTCTCCTATGTACACTTACATGAAACTGTATATTTTACTTACCCGAAACCTGTAAGAGTTCAGAGTATGACAACTTGAATTCGATGTCGGTAAAATTTGGGATAGGAAATTTCTCTGGAAATGGGCTAAAGACCGTAACCTCATGACCTCTACGGGCCAGCTCCTTCATTAGCGCTGAGTGTACGATCATGTGACTCTTAGCCGGCATGGGAAATATTCCCAGGATTCTTGCGCCATCGGTGGCATACAGATATGACAAAAGTACCATGAACATATTCAGTTTCGATTGCCGAGCCAGCATCATGAATAATGGCTCTCCAGATATTATCTTCCTGCGGTCGGAGACGCGATTATCCTCACTGCAGTGGCAGAAAGAGAAAGAAGTGTAAGTGGAAGTTATATCTCAGAACACAGAACTGTTCGTACTCACAGCTGTGAGAACTTTATTGTTTTTATTGCTAGTGGGGTGGGACTAGTCCCACCAACTGTTCCACAATCACCCTCACCTATCCCCTGGGGCTGGTACAATAGGCCAAAGTGGCCGCAGTAGAAGGGACTCCGTCCAACCCCACTATAAATAAAAATGTATTACAAATGAACAAAAAGTAGTGGTTTTACATTTTAATAGATTAGTTTATTTTCTTGCAGTTCCACTACTTAAACGTATATTATAAAGACCAACAATGTAACTTGTAATGGTACTGCATTTTCTTATTACATGTATGCATGAGGCCCCGATCGGCTAATAACAAATAGATTTAGGTTAATCCCGAAAATAAGAGACAAGTATGTTAAATAAATAATAATAAGGAAGTTTATATTCATTCATATTACGTTGTTCTGAATTATGTCATTTTGTACTACTGTGTATGGGTAGGTAATTTACCTTGCAACTTGCTGGCTGCTTGTTTGGCTTACTCCTTGAGCTTGACAATGGTAGAATTACCTTCTTCCGAATCTCAGGAAACTTTAAGCAACTTATACGGGATCTTATAACAGATGACAATGTTCTTAAATCTAATAATTTACAACGTTTGTGATTTTTGTGATAACTTTACAGGAAAACGAAGGAGACAAACTGCAAAATAGTATGACCGATATCGGATTCTGTGACTGCGTTATTATTTCCGTTACTTGTAGTCACTGCTCTGTTGTAATTCACTATATAAGCGGCTTCACGAATCATGAACTAGGCAAGCTTCACGGAAAGAAAACAACAGAAGGCTGAACAAGAGGCAGTACTTCTAAATATTATATTGTGTGTTTTTGCCCTGCTTATCAACTTTTGAAATTCATGGCATACTTACATTTAAAAATTTATCAGAAACATTGAAATGTCAACATAATGCGTGATTTATTGTACATTCTAGCTTAACCATTATCAGATGGAAGCAGAACAATACCCAAACTGGGGCAGTAGTGCCAAACGGGGGGAAAAAACAATATTACACCTTCTTATATATACCAGACGATGGATAAATTCCAAAATAAGCCTTATAGTTCTGTATATTCTTCTATGTTACTACAATCTTGTTGACTAATTTCATAAGAACTGAGTTTTCCTTCAGTACTTTTAATGCGACAGGAGATCTTAACGTTTATACTGAAGACTATCTCTGAAGTTTGCAAATTCTGTGTCACGCATTATCGTCCACGCTGAAAACTCTACAAGTCTGAGACTTGCACTGACTGGACATGTGACGCAGAGGCAAGCTACTTCAGCGATATTCCTCGTGCGGTCATTTTTATGGCGAACAAAATAGCAGCCAGAAAATACAGCTGGAACCAAAACAATAGGGATTTCTTTCTCCACCGTTAAATGGGGTAACCGAAGATTAGAGTTATCAGAAAACGTTGAAACACTGAAAAGGCCGTTGGTAGTAAAGCATATAAATCAAACAGACCCCAAATTACAATTAAAAGACGACAAAAGGAATGTTAAAAAAGGTAAACCACGCTGACTGGATGAACATCGGACCATGGCTCCAACAGAAACTCCAAGCCAAGGGAACAAAACGCCTAAGTATATCTCAATATAAATCGTACCAATCGACGAAAAATAAAGTCAATTCACAAACAGAAAAAGAAAAACAAGATATAAGAATATAAATAACTGGAAATCGAACAATTAAATGGTACACGCAAACATAACTTCAATAACAAAAGAACAACTCTACAAAAATGCGAATCAATGCAAATCACATGAATCGGCGAAACGTTGCAGAGGCTTCATGAGGCCTTGAGGGCACGCGGTAGCGCAGTTAGTTCGGGCACTATGCTACAAGCCGGAGGTAGCGGGATTGAATCCCGATGAGGTGAATTCTTTCAATTGACGACCTAATTATTCCAGCCGCGCTATTGCCCTTGGATCGACTCAGCCTCTAACAGAAATAAGTACCAGGAATATTCCTGGGGGTAAAGAGCGGCCGACGTGTAAGGCTCACAACTTCACCGCCATCTGTGAGCCGATTGTCTAGAAAACGTGGGAGCCTCAACATCTCACAACCCTTGAGCCTTCACGGCCCGTTACAGGGATGTCTTTACTATTCACTTTTACTTTCATGAAGCATTATGACAATATATTCACTACTCAAATTGCCTGTTTACTTAACACGAGAAACGTACAGTACATCACTGCAAATATGCGAGGAGATAGATTATCAACAGCCGTGAACATTGGAGGGCATTCGGAACTCGATTAAAAGTGGACACACTACAACACTACAGAGAAAGATTACACACCTAATAATTTACATGGAGGCGACACAATACACAGGACATCATTCACTACAGTACAATCTACCGTATAAAAACTGAACGAGCTATATCAGATGCTCTTTTAAATCATTAAAAGCTTAGGAATCCATTGAGGGTTAGAGCCTTCTGACATCTTACTCCTTTAGTCTTATAACTGCCGCGCCATAGCTCAAGCGGTTAGTCGCTAGGTTCCCACCGCGTTCTGGTCAAGTGGGATTTATGGTGGACAAAGTGGCGCTGGTGCAGGTTTGCTCCGAGTACTTCGGTTTCCCCTGCCAATCTTCATTCAACCAATTGCTCCACAATCACCCTCACCTATTATCTGGGGCTGGTACAATAGACCAGAAGTGGCCGCAGTACAAGGGACTTAGTCCCACCGCACTAGCATTAAAAAATAGTCTTGAAACTGGAAACCAAATTGTTGGAGGAAACTACTGCCTCCATCTTCAAGGATGAAGACGCACGTGTCTATACAACTACAGGAAATCTTCTACATTCCAACCGCTGTGAGAACCTCACATCTCGTAATCTAATAATTGCAGCCCTCCGAAATTACGAAGCAAAACAATTCCATCTTAATGGCATTAGCCATTAAATGCAGGAGAGGAATTCAACAAGTAAAACACAACTGGATACAGACTACAGCAGAGTCACTGATTGTCGTGCCAGGCACCCACATCAGTCATGTTGCCACAAGTGAATACCGCACGGAGAAGTGTACACATTCTAGTGGAAGGTCGACATTTCTAAAACCACAACGAAGAGCCAAGTCTGCGAAACGTTTACGAAAATGGGAAGAACCTGAGGATGCGAAAATATATGACAAGATATCGACGCAACTAACTGATTTAAAAGAACAACACTTTCGGGGCTACATAAATTGAATGTTAAGGAAGACACAATCATTTTAGATCCTTCATAATATTGTATAATGTTTAAGTATTCATTATATCAAATTTACATACTTTTGGAAGTCGTACAGTGTTGTGAGTGGTAATGTTTTCACTGAGGCACCCTTAATTTAAAATTACAGTTTATCATTTGCGTTGCAAATACAAAACACATCCATGCAGAAAAAAGAACTAACTAAAATGGTTTCAAAGTCAAATACAATAATAATAGTAATAACAAAAATATGAATAATGGCAGTACAAGATTACATTAGTTCGTCTTTTTAATAACATCCCGTTTGGAGCCACCGCACATTTTCCCCAGCAACTTTCTGACTATCAAAAACACTAAGAAAACAATCGATCCTACAGCTAGCGCCAACACAGCGATGACATCTAGCAGGAAGTACTGGTACCAGGTGAGGTCGAGTGCAGCGGAGCGCATGTGAGGAGCTCCCTTGTGTCTGATCACGTACTCCGTCCAGAACACAGCCTGCTCCAGCGGTGTGAGTGGCTGGTCACGGTAGATTCGCGACAGACGCTGGGCGTTCTCACGGTATCTGTAGAACAGAACTCAAGTATGTATTAAAATTGACCGATTATGCAAATGTTCCACAAAAGCATTATTGGTGTTGTTGTTGTTATTGTTATTATTATTATTATTATTATTATGCTTACAATATTAAATATTTATTTTATTTCCCTAGATTTTCGTATTTATATATTAATTTTTAACACATTTAACATATTGTTTTTTTATTTTGAGGTTCCCGAATAAGAGTAGACTACAGCTCTTATTTACAGCAGCTGCCTCAATAGTTGTAGTTTCTCTGGAGCTGGAAACCATGAAAACCCATTCACATATCACTACTCAAAGAACAAAGGAAAGGCGATGACGCATTCAACACTTCTCTGGAAATACTAATCGTATAAATATTACTTCCACAAGAAACTGAAATGTTCTGTTTTTCATATTTCTAAATTTAGAAAAATTTCAGTTAAAATTTTTGAATTTTAGTCATTATTATTAAAAATAAAAATGTATTTTCCTGCATTTGTAATTGTGCAGTTCTTTCTGGCTGGAAAGTAATTGATCACTTTTCAGTTTAAGTCCCCATTTTTGTTTTAATGTTTTTTCTGGAGTAATATTCGTGGTTAAATATTTATCTATACTTAAAATATCATGGTCCGAAAGCTATAGCTGTCCGCGGTTAAGTAAATAATGAAGAAAACGACCTTTCTGTTGTTTCAAATTACTATGGTCAATGTGACAATTCCTATGCACTATACATTTACAGGGAACTACAGCAGACACTCTAGTTATTTTTGTGTTTTCGTTGTCCTTTGCATTAAAAATCCAAGAAAATAACATCGTCAATTTTACTGGAAATAAATACTATGAATGGCTGGCCAAGTTGAGACACGTTTGTCAGATTGAGACAAACAGAACAACATCGCTAAAATTGTGTCCAAGTACCTAGATATATATAAATTATGCAGACTGTTTACATTAATCATCCATGTATTTCTTGATGACTATATTATTCTGACAGTTGACATTACTAAGCATTTATTTGCTTATAAATTTCTTAGTATTCTTTTAAACACAGTTCCTGAATCTTTAATATTTATAAGCATACATTTCAATATTTTTAATTCAATAAATGTATCCCTTAACATCGCCATGTAATATTAAGTGTTGTCTATCAAATATACTTTTGATATCTCTAGTGTATTATTAAATTTAACATTAAATATGCTCAGGATTAAGAGTAAAAACAGACGTGATTACCTGGGATTATCCAATACTTCTCTAATGGCGGAACCTAAAGACTCAGCTGTGACGTCAGTATAGTCCAGTTGAAATCCGTAGCCTGATGATACAGCTTTCGCCATATTAAGCCTCTGATCCCCAAAAACTGGAATCCCAACAATTGGAACTCCATGATATATTGTCTCTTGTGCACTCAACAATCCACCGTGAGTGATGAACAGTCGTACATTAGGATGAGCTGGTGACCAAAATACAAAATTACTGTTCTTAATAATATGTAACTAAAACTGCGAAAATATAAGCCACATTTTTCGTACTCTGAATTGTGTTCACATTGCCCACGGATTTCGAAAGAGAACCCAAAAATCATGCAAAATTAATAGAGAATTATGCTGCTGAAAATTTTAGGCAGACTGCACTTGTATTCATGGCACAATTTTGGGCTCATGAGAGCCAATTGTTTCGAAGCCCCTGTGCCGAAACCTTAAGATAAGTCTACATGACGCTTTTGGGAATACAGTCACGTGACACTACCTTCAACAAGGAGGGTATGCGCGCGCCTCTCTTTCTCGATCCTTCAAGACTTCTGGAACCGCACAGCACGCGCTGCTAACCAGAAGATTTAACAATGACTAAGACTGGATAAAGGCTTTGCGGAGTTGGCGAACCGTACATTAGAGTTGAATCTCCTTGTTTTTACAGATGTGACGGAGTGCAAACGGGGAGAGGATAACTTAGTTCAGTACTGGCAGTACAAAACGACAAAAGGAAAAAATACAGTTGCCCTGTGCTTCATTAATTACGCACTATGCCATAACGATATAGGGGGATGGAGGTATAGCTCCAACTTCCGGCACTAGATCGAGGTAAGTGGTCAGCTTCAAATCCCTGCTGCTTTACTCCCAAGGAAACAGCCTCCGGTACCGATTGGATAGGAGTGTGTGTGTGGACCCCAGGGTCGGTCTAGACGCTGTGAAGAGAAAAATTTGACATTACCAAGAATCGAACCATGGCCGCCCAGCCAGTAGCCCACCGCTATATCGACACCAGAAAGCAGTGGTATGCAGTGAAAGAGTGTTGGACTAGACATGTCGGCACAAAAGTCTTAAGCTGCTGCTGGTATGTGGACAGTAACTGTTCAATATGGGCCGCGCCATAGCTCAAGCGGTTAGTCGCTGGTTTCCCGATCCCGGTTCTGGTCAAGTGGGACTTGTGGTGGACAAAGTGGCGCTGGGGCAAGTTTCTCCGAGTACTTCGGTTTCCCCTGCCAATCTTTATTCCACCAATTGCTCCACAATCACCCTCACCTATCATCTAGGGCTGGTACAATAGGCCAGAAGTGGCCGCAGTACAAGGGACTTAGTCCCACCACACTAGCAATAAAGAAAACTGTTCAATAATACTGTAAATGTTAAATTTCGATGTGGCTAAGTTTATAAAGTAATGTGGTTATGGCTCTCTCATAATGAGTAAAGAGCTCAGTTGAAATATGTATGGTACAGTAAACAGAACTTACAGTAGAAACTATCTCGGCTGCGCTCTGAACATTTTGTAGAAGATATGAGCAATATTTAACAACATTTCAGTCCCACAATTGAGTTCTAATTTCATATAGATGCGTAATTTCTTACCGAGAATGTCTGATTGAGGCAGCCATTTTGCCACCTTGACGTTGCTGGGTTTCCCCGGTAAAGACTCGCTTTCCCACTTCCAGAGAACCCGCTGTTTCACTTTAGAGAATGCCTCCAGAATACCACGTAACTTCTTGTCTGGTAACTGAGAACTCTTCAAGTTTGATCCCATACTGAAGAAGATAACACCTTCAGTTGCTTCTTCAACGTATTTCTTGATATCCTGCCAATAACAATTCACATTCACCTTAACTATTCAGTGCCTCAAAACATAGCAACATGAAGTATGTAAGATGTGAGATTTCCACGGCGGCGACTATGAAGAATGCCGTCTTCTTGGATGTGGCGCCGTGTAGATATTATATAAACCGACGTTTCGGAGGAACGTATGGCCTCCATCTTCAGGAAAGAAGAAAAAAGAATAAATCCCCGAGCGAGGAACTAGCGTGAGCATGTGGCTGCAGCCACGGAGCCACATCCCAGAAGACGGCATTTTTCAACCAGAAATCACAACGATACAGGCCATAACAAGCTAAAAGAGGGGGGCACCACTGCGAGGACATCTGAGGACTCCAAATATAACCACAATATTACGTATTAACAGAAGGGGCACAAGGACAGAGACCATTTCGTTTCAAGGTCTCTGATTAAGTAAAGTAAATGTATCCTTGTAACAAGCCGTGGAGGCCCATAGGGTTGTGAGATGTTGAGGTTCACACATTATCTAGACAGTCGGCTCACAGACGGTGCTAAGGTTGTCAGCCTTACGCGCCGGCCGCCTTTCACCCCCAAGAATATACCTGGTACTCATTTCTGTTAGAGGCTAAGTCACCCCCAAGGCCATAGTGCGGCTGGAAGGATTAGGTCAATTGAAAAAATCCAATGACCTCATCGGGACTTGAACCCGCGACCTTCCGGCTTGTAGCATAGTTCCTCAACAAACTACGCTACCACGTGCCCGAAGGTCTTAGACATTAAACATTAATAAAAGTTTAATCCAAATAATTGTAAATACCTTTTTATATAAAAATTTTAAGTATGTATTACAAAATTTATAATATTAGTTCCTGAACATGTTGATCTTATGCCTTCTGAAGATGGTCACAGCTGACAGAAACGTGCAATGGCAATACCTACCTACAAATTGAATCATAATGAACGGTTTTAACAACTATTCTATAATTTAATTAACATCGAGTTCAGGTATAAAGTGCAGAAGACCGGGTTACGTATACTTAATATAAGAATCTGATAATATCTCTTGTATAAGCAACCTATTTTATTAGAGGATTAAGAGTGAATATGAATGTAACTTAACCTCCGAGCCTCAAAAGAAAAGAATCCAACCTTCCAATAATCTAAAGTTACAGTGGACAGAAAGATTTGACATTCTCTGTCTGTATCCTAAACGACACTCAGGTTACAATTTGCTGATTTCAGTTGAAGGAGTCACTCCATTAGGTAGGCCGCGCCATAGCCCAAGCGGTTAGTCGCTGGCTTCCCACCGCGGCGGCCAGGGCTCAAACCCGTGTCTGGTCAAGTGGGAATTTTGGTGGACAAAGTAGCGCTGGGGTAGGTTTTCTCCGAGTACTTCGATTTCCCTGCCAATCTTAATTTAACCAAAAATTCTCCATGATCATAATCACCCGGGAGCAGGCTACAATAGGCCAATCAGTGGCCGCTGTGCCGAGTGGACACAGTTGGACTCCACCCCCCACTAAACGAATTTTACTCCCTTAGGTCACTGAAACTGAACTGACTACTAAATCTAAAGTGGAACATACTTAAATTGTACGTAAGTTCGTTAATATTTACACGTTCTTATATTTCCTCGCATCTGACCATAGAGGAAGTGTACTCAATGCACTTACCGCTGGAAGGCTCTTGGGTGCTTTGATATGCATTCCTCCCACTTGTACAAAATTTGGCATCACAGGTTTCGGGTAGCTAATACTGAAGTGTTGGTTTACAAGTACAAGCGCTGTGGACTTCTCTAAGTCTGCAATTGATGGCATGCTGCTTGTGTAATTGAAGTGTTTTCTCATAATAACTTCTTGCCTTGGAATTAGAAAATATCTTCTTCCTACTTGCTGAAATAACTGGCAGAGCGTATTTATGATACGCTCACCGAAGCTCATCTTATCACTGAATTCTTGAAATACATCTGGTATGTAGGAGTAAGGATTAGGATTCCCAACAGTGTCTCCTATATACTCAGCTCCTCCGAAGGGGCACACTTGAACAACAGGAGCTTTGAATTTGTGAGCAAATCCAAGGAGACAGTCAACATAGAATCCTGCCATTATTATGATGTCGAAGTGGTCACCGTCAGAGTGCACGAGTTTCTGAACAGATGGCTCTCCAAGGACTCTGTCGCAGAGAAAAATCCCCATTGCCCACACGATAGGAACTCTTTGGAAGTAATTTAAACTTTGCATCTCATATGGGTTTGGAACAACTGAAAAGGGCAGAGAACTTACACGTTAGATTTTCAACTATAATTACACGTAGTAGTAGGTAATTTTAATTTATTTGCCAATGATTGATTAATATTAATAAGAATTGTTAGATCAAGTCTCAGAAATAAACAAGAAAACATTTCATACAGAAGATCTTATTATAATAATGTGTAATATATTTCATTGACTGTGTCATGATCTTTGAAATCAGAGTCATGAACTCTGTCATATCGGAATGTAACTGCAGTCGTCCAGAGGATTTATCGTCAATCTAATATAAAATCTCTATCCCATTCACAAAACTCATTTATATTATCGGATTATTCGTATACACCCCATTTTCTGCACTGACATTTCTGTAGCGAATTGCCTGCAAGAAGCGAAATGCATCAAACAGCGAAAGTAGGAATATAATTTTTATTTTAAGTGCTACTTTTTGGAAATTCAACTAAAACAAAACTCATCTAAGTTTTCACATTTTAATAAATAGCTAACAATTATTTTCCCCCTAAGGTAAAGGTAAAGTTGTCCCTGTACTTAACTAAGTAAGCACTACGCCATGAAGGTGAGTGGATGTATAAATCCATATTTTCCTGACCTCGGCTCTACTTCCAGGTGAGTGGTCAGCCTCACGCCCCGGCCGCTTTACCCCCGGAGAAACAGCCCACGGTACTCATTGGATAGGATCTTGGGTGGACCCCAGGGCCTGTCGGAACAACATGCAGCAGTGAAAATTCTTGACCCCATTGGGACTCGAACTTCGACTCTCCTAGATATGTGAGTATGTAGGGTGAAACAAACTTCCGAAGTTATGTATAAGTTCTGATGTCAGTATGCGAGGTCTCTTTACCGCAAATCAGTGCAGACCGTTGCATTATAATTCCTAGAAAGAAATCAATTGTGTGTAACACCAGGACACAAGTCTTCACCAACACGCTAACATCGTTTCTGGAGCTCATCTACGGGGGAGAAGAGACATTAAGCGGGTAGGAGCCTCAATTTCAAAACACACACCTCAGAATTGCTGGGCTTTCGAACTTCGTTCATCGCCCCTGTTCTAGAATCTAGAAAATACGTTTCGGATACTGGGTCTGTTTCCGTCATCAGGCGGGGGAGGGGAGACACCTACTCTGTTGCGTCCCTTAAAAATAGCTAATCTCAATCACTGGACAACCCCTGTCAGATTCACTATAGTTATTTAATTACCTGAGACCAGGCTAAGTAGGAGGGAGATAACAAGAAAAAAAACAATAGAAATTGTGATAAAGTGAGCATATAGTACTTCTTTTGGCTTGTTTTGGACTTCATCCATCTTCCTCTGAAACGTCGTGGTCTTTTATCTTTTACATACCAGACAATGGATGAAGTCCAAAACAAGCCAAAAGAAGTACATGATACACCATCGTCAGAATCCTTTCAAGTCTACCAAAGTAAGCATATGCCTAGAACTAGGATAAGAAGGATTGAAAGTAACAGCAAGTATAGAAAATACAAGGAATCGGTCTATATGGCATGCTTAACCAATCCGATCGGCCAACCAATTTTGGGTAATTCTCCCATCTGGGGTCCCCTCAGCAGCAATGAGGTTTCCACCTATTATAATAATTATAATAGACTAAAACATAATTATGTTTTAGTCTCGAGTGTTCGATTTTACTCCACAGATGGCGCTAGCGGCAGGCACTACATGTCTTCACAATTTTTCCCATTTTTTCTGCTATGCATTGGTGTTCATTTTACGTCCAGTTTGGAGTTATGGTATCCAGCTCTGGGGCTGAGCCAGTGAATCCAATATTCAAGTGATTCAACGCTATCAGAACAAAGTGCTAAAGTGTATTGTCAACGCACCATGATACGTTCGTAACATTGACCTCCATCGTGACCTTGGGATTGAGACGGTTACAGATATCATCGCTAAGTCCGCCACCTCTCATAAACAGTGACTCCAAAACCATGTCAACATTGAAGCGTCCAGACTTCTCAACGTGAACAATATCATTAGACGACTCAAACGGAAGAAACCGTTCGAACTAGTTAATGTTAAAGTACTAAGTAATTCAATGGAAGTGACTTAGTTTTAATTTACGTAGTATATTAGGTTTAGAAAAAAAATCATTAGTTATCCAATTAGTTTTAATTGTAATTAAGTACTGGGTTACCCAGTCTTTAATAAATAAATAATAGAAAAAATGCATTGGTGTTAAAGCATCTGATTTTATTGGCTAGGTTTGTAGCATTAATTTCTATCTCCCTTTCTATACTAGTTTCACACATGTGCGTGCTTTATCACAATTTTTATTGCACACCATTTTACAACATCGTCAGTACCCTTTTTCCCCTTGGCACTATAGCCCCAGTGGGCCTAGGCCTACCTCCATGAACTTCTCCGTTCAGTTCGGTTTTTTCTAGATCTTACACATTCGGTAGGACTCCTTGGGCGGGTGATCAGCTCGTCGCAAGGCCTTTACCTGTACACAAACACAGAAAAACGCACACAAACATCCATGCCTTGAGTGGGATTCGAACCCACGATCCCGGCTTCCGAGCGAGCGAAGACAGTACATGCCTTAGACCGCTCGGCTACCGTGACCGGCATCAGAACCCTTTAGCATCTACAATTACGTCTATAATCAAGGCTCACTTTACCTCAGAATCTAAAATAATATTCAGTATGTACATTTGCTTTGCTCTTTCAAGAACAACAGCAATAGACGGGTAAGTCTACTTCACTCGCCTGTTATGTTCAGCACATCTTTTAATTCAATTTTCTGAAGGGCGATGTCAGTGTAATTAGGAACTGGTTCCTCTTGAGGATATGGGCTCAGAACAGTGACTTGGTGTCCTCTTTGGGCCAGTTCCTTGACTAAGGCAAAACTTACAGCAGCATGACTGGGGGAAGGGACAGGGAACAATCCTAGGATCTTCGCTCCCTTACATTCCTGTAAGCTTGTAAGGAACACCAACACCAACACCAACACCGTCACTGCCATTGCATCTCGGACCGACACCTGCAAAAGAAATGCCCGTACGCCTATACACAACTCCCACAGTACAACGGGAATATAGAAGCACGGCAAAGAGTTGCTCCAAATTTATGTACTAATATTAGGAAAACATAATATTGACACGTGCATGATTACTATAGACAGGGTTTTGATTGGATATTGGATTTATTGACCGCTTATACACAAGACTCAGAACTACAAGCAATTGCAGCGCCATCGCTAATCACCACAGCGCCCGATAAGTCTTTTCCAACCTGCTTTGTCTTCACCAGCCGATACCTGGCAACGGCTTCTAATAGTTTAGATTCTTCAGCTCCACGCGCTCAAGTCCTGTCTGAAAGTCTGCTCCCTTCCAACTGCCTCATTTCCTCACAGACTCCCGTACAGAACAGACTTGATTGCTCCAGTTGTTTTCCTTATAACCCCTTTGCGCGGACCGAGTAGGGAACACCGTTTCCAACAACATATCTACTGTTGTATACGTATCCGTTGCCGCGGGAACGTGTTTGTCGGGTTGTTGCCCAGAAACGGCACTGGTATATTTATCTCATGGTCTTTGCATAGTAACGGCTCTACAGGCTACAATATAAACGTATTTTTAGGGAAGTTACAAATGATCGTTTCTAAACGAAGTTTTCTTATAAATTTACGTAACTCTGAATACTGCAGATTTCTTCGATGTGACACCGTGCGCTTTGGTAGAAGAGTACCAACATTTTGTAGGAATCTGCTATCTCAGACTTTATGTATAACACTCTTCTATCCTGAAGATGAAAGCAGAAAGTGTACCGAAGCGTTGATACCATCTTCCTGACTACACGGCATCACATACCGGAAGACCATAACCATCAAACGACCGTGAGAAACTCAAATCTCTAACGGAATGAAATAATCCTCAGACTGAAATGGAAAACAGCCGGCACGTCCTAAAAATAATGAGTGGCTTACAAAACTCTGTAACTTTATCAGGAATTTTCTGAATAAACATCAGTAACTTTCAACTTGAGAAGTTAAATAACACTGACTAACAGAGTGAGTATGGAAGATACAGCAAGAAATAAACTGAAGGAAACACTCGTGATATTTGCACTTGTAAAGAGAGATTCAGAATCTCCAATACAATCAGGAGATCCGATGTCGCGGCAGAGATCCGAACGTGCAATCTCCAAACTATTACGCCTGAGTGATAACCTGCTAACCAGTAAACACAGAGTTTTATTCTAGACAATAGGTATATATAGGAAAGAGAATAGTTTTGGCAATTTAACGGAATGTTAGAATTCCTATACAGAAAGCAACTCAGTAGTTTGAGAACAGCTAGTAATACATACCTGCCAGACAGGCCGCGCCATAGCTCAAGCGGTTAGTCGCTGGCTTCCCAGGGCGGCGGTCCGGGTTCGATCCCGGGTCTGCTCAAGTGGGATTTGTGGTGGACAAAGTGGCGTTATGGCAGGTTTTCTCCGAGGACTTCGGTTTCCCCCCTGCCAATCTTCATTCCACCAATTGCTCCACTATCACCCTCACCTATCATCTGGGGCTGGTACAATAGGTCAGAAGTGGCCGCAGTACAAGGGACTTAGTCCCACCCCACTAGCAATAAAAAAAATACCTGCCAGATGATGGCTTCCATAATTCGAAACATGTAGCAGGACACTTCGAGAGCAATGAACCCGTAAACAGTTGATGTGAACAAATTTTGAGTGCTGTGTTGTGACAGATACAAATTGCAATTGAATAAGTTAACACAACATGACTCCTTTTGAAATGATGGATAAGCCCATCGCAAGGCATAAACCCCGTATCGCACAAGTCACACAGTTACACAGATAACAGCGGAAAGGGCGATGTGCATTCAAGTATAAAGAGGAATAACTGAAGATTCAGTCCCCATCCGTGATAAAATGAACACAAAAATTAATTCGGGAATTTACTTATATTGCTGAGTTTTCAAAACACTATATAAACATATAAACTAAAATCTCATCAAGTGTAATAATGTTTATAAAGTATATAAATACTTTGCCACCCTAGATGTCTCGGCTTTAGGTGGTCATCTTCAAGGAAATACTTTACGCAAGGCTTCAATACAGTATTAGTTATCCTATAGGCTTACTGATCCAGTATTTTCACTTATTGGCGGAGAGGGGTGGAGTCCAGTTGGGTCCACTTCGCACAGCGGTCACTGATTGGTCAATTGTACCTGGCCCGGGTGATTATGATGGAAAATTTTATGGAATGAAGATTGGCAGGGGAAACCGAACTACTCGGAGAAAACCCGCCCCAGCGCCACTTTGTCCACCACAAATCCAACTTGATCAGACCCGAGATCGAACCCAGGCCGCCGCAGTGGCAAGCCAGCGACTAACCGGTTGAGCTATGGCGCGACCTTACTGATCAAGTAAGTCCCAAAGAGTCTTCGGAGCTGAAGACAGAGGCCATACAGTCCTCCGTAAACTCGGATGACTTTCACCGGACTGCTCGGCACTGTAGCTCAGAAGACAGGACCATTCATTACCACCAATGGAAAGAGCTCAAATCCAACATTCGATATTGTGTATTTCTAGCTATGTAAATCGTGAAAGCTTCTCCCTTAGCTAACACCTTTCGTGATTTACTAAAATAATATCCATAAACCTGAAGTAACCATTTGCTGTCTCAGAATTAATTCAGAAACATATCAGGTCATAACGTCTAGTGTATACTGACATACAGAGAATGCATACGTACCATCTTAAAACCAAGAATTCAATTTCGTTCGTGAGGCTGGGCCGTGCTCCACTACCGAACAACCACTTCACAACGCTCCCCGACTCCACTTCTACCAACATTATGAAGCAAACATCCACTGCGTTGCGTTACATAATGGTTGACCTTCACCCGTTGAGAAGTTCGAGTCACGTACAAACTTAATCGTATTCAGGCTGGCATCAAAACAGTGCTTCTGCCGCCTTGAGCCCAACATCACACACTCTCTCCGTAAATTTCATCAGCTTTCTTTCTCACCTTCAGTTAGATTACGCAATTAGTCAATATGCAACATAAGGCAAAGGCTCAATACCTGTTTCATAATGAAAGGAAAGACGCCAGTAAGCTTTGTGATTGGTCGCGCCATAGCTCAAGCAGTTAGTCGCTGGCTTCCCACCGTGATCCCGGGTCTGGTCAAGTGGGATTTGTGGTGGACAAAGTGGCGCTGGGGCAGGTTTTCTCCGAGTAGTTCGGTTTCCCCTGCCAATCTTCATTCAACCAATTTCTCCACAATCACACTCACCTATCATCTGGGGCTGGTACAATAGGCCACAAGTGGCCGCAGTACAAGGGACTTAGTCCCACCCCACTAGCAATAAAAAAGAAAACTTTGTGCTTTCACAGTGAAGCGACTGGACCGTGTGTCAGTTATAAAAGCTATTCTGGGGGGAATAGAATGAGATGATTATGTTCCGTGAACTGCAAACGACTACAGAGGAAACGGTCAAGGCCTGAACTTAATATTAACCTCAACTTCTTAGTAAAGTCATGAAAGAATACATGAGAATAAACAGTGTCATATTCAAAATGGGCACAGACTTGAATGATGGTGTACACTGCGCTCTGCCTGCTGAGATTGAATTGAGTTTACATTTCAGGTGCAAAAGACTTTACTCCACCAAGAAAGCATAAAGATATAACCAGAACAAATCCCTTTATCCCAATATATAAGAATGACTTCTTGATAGTGTAACTCCAGTTAATGTTTGGGGGGTCTGAAATTTCTCCTATCATTTATATCAATCTGAGTTAATGTACTAATCATTGAAACATCATCTTCTCACACAAATTTTCACGTCATCGAGGACAATGGTTAGTCAGTTACCCCTATACAGAATATTTTACTGTATAACCTTTATATATTCTGCTTTATACATAGTTCATATATCTAGATGCAGTAAAATACTGAGGTATGTAGTCACGTTGCTAGGCAATGGTCGCGAAATAAACAGCTATACAACAGCCGTTGCTAGGTAGTGGCTCTCTTAATGACGGCCGTTGCTAAGTAATGGCCGCAACAGACGCACAAGCAACAATAGAGAAACCGCTGGATGCGGTGCTCTCTATGCGGTCGTTGTCTACGCTATATAACGAGGAGCAGCCACGATTACGAGTGTCCTGAGACGGCAGTGAGAATAGTAGGAGGTGGTGTGAGACGGCCGTCAGTCTGGGAGTTACTCAGTTGGAGCAATGTGTTGTGAGACAGTTGCCGGCCAGTAAAGTCGCGAACACGCAAGATGACAGCTGAGTCACGGGGACAATTCGGGGACCCAGAAGAAGCCGTTATAAGACAGCGACTGGTGAAGATACAGCAGACGGAAAACTTAATGCGTGCTGTAATGAATTGTAGAGTGTATAAATTATAAAAGCGCTACAGTTACTTGTACTTCCGATCTGTAAGTGTTCAATAAATCCAATTACCAATCCAAACCGTGACAATATGTTGCACATCAGACAAACACTGAACTGCGATGCAACCAAACGGATGACTCCACACATACCTCACATCAGCGAGACACGCGCCGTAAACTTGTCAACTCCGAAACGACTGCCCTCATTTTATACGCATATACAGCAGTTGTAAAAGAATGCAGACAGAATGAATAATGTATCAGAAATACGAGGCAGTATAATTTTTATTCTTAAAGCTGAATTATTAAGCACACATTACGTCGCATTACAATATACATTACACATTCAATCGCCTTTTCTTCTTGATGTATCAATATCCTTGACACTCCAAACTTTCCTTAGTACTGCCCTGAGCATCAAAAACACTAACAGCAGACTCAATCCTACAACTAGCGCCAACACAGCGATGACATCTAGCAGGAAGTACTGGTACCAGGTGAGGTCGAGTGCAGCGGAGCGCATGTGAGGAGCTCCCTTGTGTCTGATCACGTACTCCGTCCAGAACGCGGCCTGCTCCAGCGGTGTGAGTGGCTGGTCCCGGAAGATTCGGGACAGACGCTGGGAATTCTCACGATACCTATATTGTGATAATTCAGTTTCATGTATGCAAACCGCTGAGCTGTTAATCACGAATTATGAAATAACAACACTGCATACCAAAGTAAATATTTGTATGGATTACCTAGGATTGCCGAGCACTTCACTCAGCGCCTCGGACACTGATTCGGACGTAATATTATTGAAATCCATTGAAACTCCAAAACCCTGCGAAACAGCCCACATCATGTTCATTTTTTGGTCTCCAAATACAGGGATACCCACTACAGGAACACCTCGATCTATGGCTTCCTGCATACTCAGCAGTCCACCATGTGTCATGAATAGTCTTGTGTTCGGATGTGCTGCAGAGAGTAAAAATTCTTTCATATTTGGAATAAACGTAAAATCACTCTCGAGCACATCTCTACAACAAATCATACAAAAATGACTCCGGTTATTTCCTATGGAGCAAAGATACTTGTTCTCTATGGGGTTGAAATGGTAGCCATGTTTATATTCTTTTGGTTGGAACAAAAATATCTGATGAGAACTGTTTTCGGGACAGGGTTAAATCATCAATATTTCCGGGAGAGAAGCATAGCGAAGAGAAAGTGGGGACGAAATGTAGGAGAAGGAAAAGAGAGAACATTAAATCAAGAATATCCCTTATTTACGCTAATCTTTACAATGAAAGATTCGACTTTTCGTTCGCTTTCATCACAAATTTAATGAATTGTGCAAAATAAGTTGCGAAAAGATCGGTGAAATGTAACTGGCCAAGTTACAAATTACATAAGTTTGCACAAATATTTACGGACACACACTGAAGGCCTCGAAGTACTTATCACAAGGTACTTATCGTGCCATGTAAGTCTGGCTGTTAATTTTACGCAAACTGTATTGTGTACAGTACTAAATTTCTAAAAATACATTAAGACTGAAATAGGACTTCGCACATGGTCTAGGTTCAATGAACCAGGTGCCTATTTTAACCTGTTCTTTGCGTATTGATCTGCAAAGAGGCAGGAAAACAATAAATAATAATAATTCAAACAACAACTATGTTTCGCTAAAACCACTCCTTCTGAACTTCGATGTGACTCACCAAGAATATCGGCTTGAGGAAGCCACTTTCCCAGCTTCACATTACTGGGCCTCCCCGGGAAGGTTTCCGTTTCCCACTTCCATAATACTCTCTGCTTTACTTTTGAGAAAGCTTTGATAAGAGCATCTATTGTACCTTCTGGCATTTCAGAACTCTTCACGTTTGAGCCCATACTGAAGAAGATTGCACCTTCTGACGCTTCATCAAGATATGATTGGATGTCCTGGCGTTAGATGAATAAATTAAATAATATATTGCAAATAATACTATCATATATAATTCTCTTTCAATATGAACTAAAAGTCCTTACCTGGGGTAGTTTCTTTGGCGGTTTCACGTGTATACCTCCAACCTGTACAATGCTAGGCATCAGAGGTTTAGGATAACTCGTGCTTAAATGCTGATTGACAAAAAGAACAGACGTTCTGTGCTCTATTTCAGAGAGTTCAGGAAGATCATTTGAGTCATTGAAATGTTTTCTCATGATTGCATTCTGCCTCGGCAGGTAGTAATGATTCCTTACGAGTATAAAACTTGTTCCCAAGATGGTATTGATCATCCTCTCCCAGAAATTCATTTTATCTCTAAATTTAAGAATAGGGCTTGGTACGTAGGCATAAGGATTTGGGTTTCCAACCCAGTGCCCCATAAAATCGAAACCGGCAAATGTACATATGTGAATTAAAGGGGCTTGGAATTTATGAACGAAACCAAGGAAACACTCATTATTAAAAGCTTCAACGATTATGAGGTCAAAAGAGAGATCTTTAGAGTGTACAAGTTCCTGGACGCTCTCCTCTTGCAACTGCAGGTCGCATAATACGAGATCTAAGTTGAAAAACACATCGAACATTTGAACTATTCCCATCTGCATTCTACTCATTCCGAGCTTTGTTTCTGCAACAATAGAAATAAATATATTAGATGATGACTGATTTTTCGTGTAAAATAATTAATTTTAGCTGCCTTAGAAAACCGAGATTAACAGCCGTGGGGATCCGTTCCGCTGACCACGCGACACCCTCTATCCGCAAAAGTTGGCACTAACTTCGCCGACAAGCGTCAGTCGCTCGATCGGTATAGTTGGCTTGAGGACTACAGGCCAAGGAGTTTTTTTGCCTTGAAATATGTTTCCTTGCCTCAAACCCACGTAAAACAAGTTTCATTCTACATTATCCCATTAAAGAATAAAACTACGGAAACGTGTTTCATTTATCACATTGCGTGTAAGAAACTTCGTAGCGAGACAAAATTAAAAATTACACGCTGAAGAGAATTTTACCCATTTTTCAGAACAGTAGTTCCTGGTAAATATAAAAGTGTTTCAATCGCTTATATCGACATACTTTCAATTTGTCACACATTTTCATTCATAATCCCATAACATCATTTTAATCGTCACAGTAATAACACTTTCTTTTTATTGCTAGTGGGGTGGGACTAAGTTCCTTGTACTGCGGCCACATCTGGCATATTGTACCAGCCCCACATGATAGGTGAGGGTGATTGTGGAGCAATTGGTGGAATGAAAATTGGCAGGGGAAACCGAAGTACTCGGAGAAAACCTGCCACAGCGCAACTTTGTCCACCACGAATCCAACTTAACCAGACCTGGGATCGAACCCGGGCCGCCGCAGTGGGAAGCCAGCGACTAACCTCTTGAGCTATGGCGCGGCCTCAACGAAACCCTTTTGGAGACATATATATTTCCTCATTTCTATTCGACAGGGTATGCATTATCCAGCGTTTATATGTCCGTCTGTCCCTCCTTCCGCCATTCCGTTTGTCTGTCTATGTACGTATATATCTACCTCTCAATCTGTGTATGTCTTCCTTACCGTTATCCAGCAAGTCCAAGAGTGACGACTTGAGAACAATGTCTGTGTAATTCCCCACATTATCCACCTGAGGGTGCATACTCAACACTGTAACGTGATGCCCTCTGGCAGCAAGTTCCCGCATTAAAGCCGAGCTTATAATAGCATGACTTCTGGAATGAGAAGGGAATATTCCTAGGATCTTAGCTCCTCCACACACGTTCATTAATAAGGGGAGTAGGGCTGTTCGAACACACCACAGTAAGTTTGCCTGTTGAGGATGTAGAAAACCGAGCATTAGAAACTGTTAATAATTGTATATTTAGTACTGAAATTCCTGTTGAAATTTTAATGGTAAATTTTTGTCCTTATCAACATCATTCATTCTTGGTCTCGCAGAATATGCGTGCTGTGGACTTGGTAACGTTCTTGAAACACAGCTACATGTACATTAAGACACAGAACTTTACGAAATAACAATATTCACTGAAGGAAGCTATTTAAATTAAACGTACGCCATGAATTTCACAGATGAACACAGCGATACCAAATCACGGATGCTACATTACGCATGTTCCACTAACTGAGCAACTTACATTAATCATGACGTAAGAATGAACCCTCACTCGAACCAGCAGATTCAGATCCGCATAATTACTCTCTTTCAGTAGCTCTGCTTACCAGTCTCTCACGTAATTTCTCTACTCACTCCTCTCTGTTTATTCGCCCTTATCAGACGCGATTACTCGAAATAGTCTGATAAGAGCAAGACGTTTGGATGATTGATTATGTAATGACATTGCATCAAGTGCAGCTGTTATTTATTGTAGCTTCGAATCAGAGGACGACACCTTCCGGTGCATAAAAGAGGATTGGGCAGGAAGTGGTCTCAGCCTATTTCAAAGTATTTTTTCCTGTATTCGCCTACAGGAATCAAGAAAATTAACAGCCAGTACAGTCGACATCACGGGCGGGGAATCGAATGCAAGAAACGTAACATTTAAATATAGGTGTTGCAGGAACTCTCCTCACTAGCTGTATAAATAAGCCAACATGTTGTACTTTACAAATGTCTAGATTCATCTCAAACAATTTTCAAACACAGTGTCAATGTAGACCACAGTTTATTGCGAAAATCTAATTAGTCAGTGGTCACCTCTTCTGCAGATCTGTTTCATCTAAATGTAAGGTCCAAATTTGTATGGTCTGCAGGCAGGAATGTAATAACATGTAAGATCTGAGACTTTCACAGCAGTGGCTATGAAGAATGGCGTCTTCTGGGATGTGGCGCCGTGTAGATCTAGTGTGTACCGGCGTTTCGGAGGAACGTATCGCCACCATCTTAAGAGTAGAAAAATCCGCGAACGAGGAACAAGTGTGAGCAGGTGGCTGCAGACTGAGCCACCAATCGAAAACACCCAGCTATATAACACACGAAGGGGGGTAGAGTGAGTCACATGGGAAATCAATAGAGAGGAGAGGGGTAGGGTCTGTGAAGATGGGCGAGCAGGAGCAGAGAGCGGTATAGGATCGTACATGCCTTGTTTTAAATAAGATGGAGTTCCACTGGAAAAGGTATTAGCAATAGACCATCAAAGCGTACAAGTATTATTTTCCAAGTTAGCAATCAGAACTTTCAGTTTTTAATAGGTCAGAAGCGTGTTTTTTCAATCTTGTTTTTTGCTTGACTTATCAATATTCTTGACACTCCAGACTTTCCTCAGTACTGCCCTGAGCATCAAAAACAGTATCAGCATAATCGATCCTACAACTAGGGCCAACACAGCGATGACATCTAGCAGGAAGTACTGGTACCAGGTGAGGTCGAGAGCAGCGGAGCGCATGTGACGAGCTCCCTTGTGTCTGATCACGTACTCTGTCCAGAACACGGCCTGCTCCAGCGGTGTGAGTGGCTGGTCCCGGTAGATTCGGGACAGACGCTGGGCAGTATCCCGGTACCTTTATCACAGTACGTAAGTTATGATACAAATGAGATCTCAAAGTAAATTTAATGTATTTAATCATATTCGAATTATTTAAATATTACGTACTTGCTATTTTGGAGAACTTCCTTAAGTGCCCACTTCACGGACTGTGTTGTAATGTTATGATAAGACACCATAATACCATATCCTGCAGACTGGGCCCGTCTCATATTCTGTGACTGGTCACCAAATACAGGTATTCCCACCACAGGAACTCCACGGTTCAGCGCTTCCTGTGTGCTCAGGAGTCCTCCGTGTGTCATGAACAATCGTACGTTTGGATGTGCTGCAGAGATACGAGTACATAGTTCTACTTATTATAAATTAATGGTTAAGACTCATTAGTAAAATACATAAATGTTGTGGACATTTTCAAGCAGTGTATTGCAGAAGCAGAATCAGTGGAAGTCATGTTTAATACATTATTATTATTATTATTATTATTATTATTATTATATTATTTACATCCGGATCACTCTTGTCTGTGTATAATTACGTGAAGATTTCACATGAATTAATGATTAATGTTTTCTTGTTGTATTATTTTAATTAATTTCATTTTACTGAGAAAGAAAGACATATTTAACGTCTAAATTGTCTAATTATGTTATCAGCTTTATCCATCGTTAAATATTTGTCTCAATCAGTATTCATTCAGCTAAAAACTCAAATGTTTGTCCTTCGTAGGTCTACGAACTGTAGTTCTTTTTGAAATCATCAGCACAGTATTTATCAAATGCCCAATTACGTGTGATGAGTTTCATGGACGTAAATATTAACATTCCTGTGAAAACTTACTATAGTGTTCACTAATAAGCAAAAATTTAATCAATTAATACCATAAACATCTTACCCAGTATATCGGCCTGAGGGAACCATTTGCCCAGCCTCACGTTACTTGGCTGTCCTGGCAACGTGTCTGTCTCCCATTTCCAAAGCACCTGTTGTTTCAATTCAGAAAATGCTTTAAGAAAAGCATCTCTCTTATAATCAGACAATCCTGAACTTTGCAAGTTGGAGCCCATGCTGAAGTAGATAACTCCATCTGGTGCATCATCCAAGAACTTCTCAAGATCCTAATAACAATGGGTGAATGTTATAACAGAAGTGCACTGAGTTGGGAAGCTACTGCATTGTATTAACAATTGTGAATGACAAGTGTATATATATCTTTTTCCTTGGCACTACAGCCCCAGTGGGCCTAGGCCTACCTCCATGAACTTCTCCGTTCACTTCGGTTTTTCTAGATTTTACACATTCGGTAGGACTCCTTGGGCGGGTGATCAGCTCGTCGCAACGCCTCTACCTGTACACAAACACAGAAAAACGCACACACACAAAAATTACATCCATGCCCTGAGTGGGATTCGAACTCACGATCCCGGTTTCCAAGCGAGCGAAGACAGTACAGGCCTTAGAACGCTCGGCTACCGTGACCGGCCAAGTGTATATAGTAAATGTAATTAAAAATAACTACAAATTACTGTTTATATGCCCTGTGTTATGCGTTCCTATGAAACAAAAAAGATGAACCGTAAATGGCCTGCAAATATTCATTTTCAATTCTGTGAGTTTTGTAACAAATATATAGAATATCCGGACGAGCGGTATCCAGAATTAAATAATCGTATCTCAGAAAGCATTTAATATACACATTCATGGGTCACACCATTACAAAGGGAAACTATCAAATTTTTCTTCTGTGTATAAAACTTTCTCAGTAAAATTCAATGTGGGCATTCAAAAAAAAAACTTTCCGAGTTTTCCTTTCCGATGACATAAACTGGATACGTGTGTGTCAATTATTTTCCGATATAAATTTTTTATTTTGGATACCTTTCATCCGGACTTTCCGTATACATGCTAGCATTTTTCTATTGCACATTTCTTATCAGAGGACAAAAATATCAGAACGTGGTTTTGATATATACTTTCGAAACGGTCATAGGAGTCCTGATTCTATAATCATTCATGAGTATGAGATAAGATAATACAGATAAAGAGAATTTAATGATATCACAAAGAACCAGTGAAATAATACTTGTAAGGTAAAACGGATTACACGATAATAACTTGTTGATTAGATAAATACGAACGTAAAAGATGTCTTTGTACAGTACACTGTCATTTAAAGCACTTCTAGTAAAACAAAGATGGCACAACATATTTAAATACACTCGTACATGATCTTCGTTTGTAAAAAAAAGCCACGCCATGTAAATAATTATATCAATCATTTGCGTGGCTCATTTTAACAAATGTAATCTTAATTGGGCCACAATCTTTGACACCAACGGACATAAATAGTGAAGATTAATAGGAAATCACGAGGACACAGATGTTCCTTTCATAATAATCAGCCCTATTTAGGTTATATTCGGAATTAATCTCATTCCTGTTGAAAACAATGCCGAAAACCTTAAAGAAAGAGATTTTTTGAACTAAAATATGAAAGCAGTTGAGTTGTTATATTAGTCTACTTGTAGCAGATAATTTTAAAATATATTCAGGTTTGATAAAGGTGCAAAGACTACTTCTTCAACTCTGAAGATGGAAGCAGTGTCTCCTAAGAAATGTTGATACCAATCTGCAAGAGAATACGATCTTAAAACACAGATTATTTTACAAACCAAACATCGTTTAACATAAAATGACATTGAAGAAAGCAGTCTTCTGGGATTTGGCACCGTGTATATGTGGTGTTAACCGACGTTTCGGAGGAACGTATCGCCTCCATCTTCAGGGTAGAACAAAAGTATAAGAAATCTGCAAGCGACAAGACCGTGAGAACGGTACACGGTGCCAAATCCCAGAAGACTGCTTTCTTCATAGTCACCGCCGTGAAAGCCTCAAATCTTACATAAAATGACATTGTTATGTTTTAAGTATTATTGAATTCGTCGGGCCGAGGACATCCAGTTTTCATTATTGTCCTAAAGTAAATTGTGTAATTTTACCTGTGGAAGTTTCCTTGGTGGTTGCACATGCATTCCGCCAACCTGCACCATGTTAGGCATAAGAGGCCGGGGGTAGCTAATGCTGAAGTGATGGTTCAGTAACACAAGTGAAGTTGTATGTTCAATTTCAGCAACTGAAGGCAAATCATCAGAATCATTAAAATGCTTTCTCATTATTGCATCCTGACCCGGAAGATAGTAGTACTGGCGTCCAAGTCTCCAGAAAGTTCCCACCATCGTGTTAAGCATCCTTTGCCAGAAGTCCATTTTATTGTCATATTCCAGTAAGAGATCAGGCACGTAAGCATAAGGGTTTGGATTGCCAACCCAATCACCAATCCAATGCGTTCCTCCAAATGTACACAGATGGATTAAAGGAGCTTTGAATTTATGAACGAAACCAAGAAAACATTCGTTAAAGAATGCTTCTACAATCACCAGATCGAAGTGAAGGTTCTTCGCGTGAATCAGTTTCTGGATTTCTTCTTCTTGCAGCATAAGATCACATGTGCCTTTATTATTACGCCAAAGGTCCATAATTTTTGTTAATATCCCTACATCCTGGAGTTCAAACAAGGTTCTTTGGATCCCTGTGAAGGAAATGGTAAGTTGTTTTTATATCTTAAATAATTTGATTATACGCGTATTAATCTCGTGTTACTTTAGTGAGAATTTCAGCATTAAAATGTATCTAATTAATACCAGAAGTTATGTCCGATAAAGGTGGGAAAAACTTCTACGAACAAATTTCACATATTTACAAGGCTTGCTTTTCTTATATTACTGGTGGTCTTACCTTTATACTTGATAAAATCCAACATTGTTGTCTTAACAACGATTTCCGTGTAATTGGCTACTTTTTCTTTGTATGGGTTGTGACTAATAACAGTGACTTCGTGACCTCTCTTAGCCAATTCCAGCATTAACGGCGTGGCCACAAATGTATGACTCTTCGCTTGGAATGGAAATATTCCCAATATTTTCGCTCCAACGCTCGCATCGAAGATTTGTATTATCACTGCTGCTACCAAGCACCATCGCAAATGTTCCTACCGGGAGTTCAAGAAATAATTCTTACAAACTGAAACAACTGCATATCTAAGTTAGTGTTTTTATACAGAAATCATATCTATGTCCTATAAAATATACATGTTCAAAACTCATAACTTTTTAATAATAATAATTCAATTCTTTATTATTTAGGTGCCGAGTCAACAGCTGGAAGGCCAATTACAGACAAGGCACAATGTAGATACAAGTGATTACATTATGGACAATCACAACATAAAGTCATAGACAAATTATAGGAAAGCACTGGAGGAAAAACACATTAATGGAGACAAGTAAACAAACAACAACAACAACAACAACAACAACAACAACAACAATAATAATAATAATAATAATAATAATAATAATAATTTCATTAACATAAATCTCAGTTGTTATTGAGAACTGAGAAATGAAATGAAATAATAATAATAAATTTCATAGTGTTTTGTAAGTATAAATATTAAATATTATCGTTGTATACTAATAAAATCTATTACGCAAATATGAAAGTGGAAACGCGTGTTGTAGCATAGCCACTTGATATAGTAAACACATGCTACATTCTTCGGAATTCAGTAGCATAGACACTTCACACGATATCATAAATACAAAAAAAAGAAGAAGAAAAAAGTTTATCTGAGTCCCCAAATGGATATTCCCTGGTGATGATGAAGTTCTTCAAAATATATTGTAATTAAGCATCGTGTTGCATTAATATACGTACGTACCTTTCGTACATACGTCTTAAATGCAACTAGTCACCCTTCTTCCTTACTACGTGTTTCGGTCGTACACGGCTATCATCAGGTGCTGTTAAAATTGTTGCACTGTATGTCAAAATTACGTATCGCGTTTGAACACGATATTTAAACATTAAAATAAATTAACTTAATTAAACTTCAACAATATCTTAATGTTTTTCCTTGTGGTCGTCGTCCATTTCTTTTAAAAGATATTTGCTTGAGTATCCTTTGTTTTTTTATTTATTCGCGCTGTACTCCGTTTGCGGCTTGGGTATTATGCATGTTATCTGCGCAGTTCGTAAGGATGTCAATGTAGTGTTGTTATCAGTTTTGTTATGTATGCGTCATTGGCTGTAGGTTCTTCTACGATGCTAGGACTAGTTGTGTTACGTGGTTTGTGAGTGTAGATTTACTGACCCATTACCTTGCATAGAGGTCGAATGGTTGGCTGATGTAAATTAGGACATTTTTTTATACACTTCAACGATTACGTTTATTACCGTGCTCAGGAGAGCCCTCCACTGGTCCCTATCCTGAGCAAGATCAGTCCAATCCATCCCATCCCATCCTATCTCTCTAAGATCCATTTTAATACTGTCCACCCACCCACGTCTTGGTCTTCCCAGTGGTCTCTTTCCTTCTGGCTTTCCCACCAATACCCTATATGCATTCCTCTTCTCCCCCATTCGTGCTACATGCCCTGCCCACCTCACCCTCCTTAACTTGATCATTCTAATTATATACTTGGAGAAGAGTACAAGCTATGAAACGCCTCACTTCATCTCGTGCAAATAGTAACTCAGAGAAGAGAAAGTCTGTAGCCAATTGCTTGAAGCTATCGTAAAATATTCAATCACACTGTACACGCTGTTTACATATGTCCACACCCGGGATGATTGATTGACGCTCGACCATTACGCGGAAGACGAAGACCTGAGAACACCTGAATTCAGTTAAATTGTACGATGCCGACAAAGGCAAAAGAATGGTTTTTCGGTCTGTACCCCTATCGCTGGTAGGTCGGCACATCTTCCACAATGTGGACAGTGTATATTAAATTGCCTGCCCATTGGTTCTCTTCGCATGCGTGCTTTTCGTTCAGCAATTTTCCTTCGTTTTCTCTTTGAAATTATTGGCGTTTTTTTCAATAATAGAGTACTTAAAGGCTACCGTAAAGATTTCACTAACGGAATATAAAAATAAAACGTTTATGAGACACATTAAATTCATTTTTCATGCTACATTCATATTAGTACGATGTATATGCCGTATATGTCGGGCTTAACTAAAAATCATTACGGGGGGCATAAGCTTGCCAAATACCCTTATACCCAAACCATATCGGTGCTGGGATGGATAGATTTCAATGAACATTAACAGAATTAAACATTTAAAATCGTTCGAAAGAGAACATTTAAATGAATGCTCATATATTTTAGGATGCGTGAAACCTGACATATCTTGGTTTCTGCAATTGTTTTCCGGGCAGAGTAAGCGTATCAACACTAAAATAAATGACCTTGCTACAGTATTTTATATTTAAACCCATTATCAATATTGGAAAACTTAAACGTGAAAACCAGTTTGGTTAAGTAGCCACGCGCCGCATAAGCAGTTCACGCCAGACAGCAGTCAGTACAACTCTTAAGCCTGCTGTAAACAACCTTTTTTGGGTTAATCAACTACATGTATCATTCATATGTAATTCTTATTTCATTTTGCGATGGTTTTACAAATACACCTTCACCTGCTACTTCTCCACACTTTGGTTCAAACACTTTTCCTCATTCTGTTCTAAAAACACTCAAGGCCAAACAGTTTTCCTCATTCTGTTCTAAAAAGCACTCAAGATCAAACACTTTGCATCATTGTGTTCTAAAAATCCCTCAAGGCCAAACACTTTTTCTCGGTCTGTTGTAAAAAAACACTCAAGGCGAAACACTCTTCCTCATTCTGTTCTAAAACGCTCTCAAGGCCAAACACTTTTCCTCGGTCTGTTGTAAAAAAACACTCAAGGCCAAACACTTTTCCCCAGTCTGTTGTAAAAACACTCAAGGCCAAACATTTTTCCTCAGTCTGTTGTATAAAGCATTCAAGGCCAAACAATTTTCCTCAGTCTGTTCTGAAACGCCGTCAACCTATGTTCTTCCCTGTTCTTCAGTTAACCAGTTATTAATGCAACACTTTATTCCATCTACAGCTAATGCTAAGGTCAAGAAAATGTGGATCTATACAGCCACTCCCCCATACGCCTTTATGGTGTAGTGCTTATTTCGTTGAGCACAGGGAAAGTTGTATACTTTAATCCATATGTAACTGTACTCCTGGTACATACCTCCATGGAGCAGAGTATTTCATAAGAAGCCAACAGTCGCTCACCTCTTCAACAAATAACTTACTTTGTATGTATAATGCAGTTTCATTTCTGTTTTCAAAAGAGCACGCCATTGGTCCGTATCATGATTCATGTGAATCCGGTTCACGTCCTCATATTCATTTTTCCCTTTTAAGACTCGCCATAACATTATCCTCCCATCTACGCCTAGGTCTCGCAAATTACCCTTCCTTTACCGTTTACCGACTAAAATGTTTTATGTATTTTTAATCTCTCACATGCATGTTACATGCCCCGCCCATCTCATACTCTGATTTCACATAAAAAATCTGGTGGAGTATAAATTATGAAGCTACACTTCACGTAGTTTTCTCCATCTTATTAATTCTACCTTTGATCCAAATATTATCCTCTACATATAACGCCCTCAATCTATGTTCATCATTAGGCTAACAGACATCAAGTCTCCCGGTACTCAATCGATAGTTGGCTGAGTTGCCTCTGCTTCCCCCTCCTGACATTATCAAAATATCGACCTAACCTCAATGTCTAGTAAGTAGAACTCCTGCCATATATTTATTTTCTGAGATCCGGGCTTCAAATTACAGGTTGTTCCTTAGTACCACCAATTAAAGGCCGGGATTTTAAAGTCAAACCAAGCCACAATCGCTTTCTACCCCATGTTCTCCAATCAGTTGACACATTTGACAGTGCATCATGTGATCTGTAACTACCATCCATATCAAGAGGTTAGTCGCTGGCTTCCCACTGCGGCGGCCCGGGTCTGGTCAAGTGGGATTTGTGGTGGACAAAGTGGAGATGGGGCAGGTTTTCTTCGAGTACTTCGGTTTACCCTGCCAATCTTCATTCCACCAATTGCTCCACAATCACCCTCACCTATCATCTGGGGCTGGTACAATAGGCCAGAAGTCGCCGCAGTACAAGGGACTTAGTCCCACCCCACTAGCAATAAAAAAAATCCATATCAGCTTTATGAGTATGTTCGTGTGAGTGACAAACAAAGTTACGTTTAGCACTCACCATTATGGCGTTGTGTGGAACCTTCAGAGAATCACTGTGCACTGTCACTATCACAAGACGCAAGCAAATATGGCTCCTCCCCCTTTACACACACAAAATTCGCAGTCATGCTGATTGCGCCTGGCTCTTCCTCCCATACCGAACTGCTGTGTAACATGCCTCCGACTTTCATCAGCTGCTGACTCGTTCCCCCACTCTTGCTACCGCAACTGTGTTACAATAATTACCATTGGTTGCCCGGCATCTTCCAGGATTGGCCCTGTGCCAATATCCGCACACAAGAGCTGGACTTTCCAGTGTTTTCCCTGGCTTAAATTTAGGCACAGAGAATTAAAAATGTTTATAAACGTCGAGATATCGATAACTTTATATCGTTGCGAAGTTCACTCTCGACGTGCTTTCGTCATAATAAATAGTTTTTTTTTTCCTTGGCGCTACAGCCCCAGTGGGCCTTGGCCTACCTCCATGAACTTCTCCGTTCACTTCTGTTTTTCTAGATCTTAGACATACGGTAGGACTCCTTGGGCGGGTGATCAGCGCGTCGCAAGGCCTCTACCTGTACATAAACATAGAAAAACGCGCATAAACATCCATGCCCTGAGCGGAATTCGAACCCACGATCCCGGCTTCCGAGCGAGCGAAGACAGTGCACGCCTTAGTCCGCTCGGCTACCGTGACCGCATAGTAAATAGTAATAAGATTATTTTGTATATCGTAGTGATGTTAACACTACAAGACATTTTGAAGGTCTCGGCCTGGGTGCCTAATGTCCTGTTTAAGGCGTTCATAGCAATCCTTAATTTGATGTTGGAATAGTAACTTAATGGTACGTGACGTCGATTCCATGCGCCATGATTTTCAGTTTATAAAATAACGGACTTCTTGAAAATGATAAAGTACAATCACATCCGTGAGTCGATGCATGACTCTCCTCTTGCCAACACTTGGACAGATTTTTATTAAACTTTGTATAAACGTCGTGCCACTATAGGTCATGTTACCAATGCAATTTTGAATTTTACAATCATCAAAACACTGAGTGGACAGTAGATACTCAGGAGTAATGACTTTTGTTAAGAGGATGTATGTATCACAGATTACTTAACGAAAATGTATCGATTGAAGCTGTTACGTATCGTTGAATTGTATCAGCCTACAATCGCGACAGAATTTAAATAATAAAGCTGGGAAGGAAGCGATCGTGGCGTATTTCAAGATACAATTCGGACATTCGCTTGGAGGGGCTGAGGTAAAGGCCTCAGCAAAAAGCAGGCAGTGTCCCAGCCGAGATTCCAACAGGGCACATCTAAGTTTGAGCTTACATGCTCGGTGATGAAATATGTATGAACTAAAGCACTAATAGGAAGGCCGAGAAAAATCAATTTCGTAGGTTTCTGATTAACGACTATCGGATTTTTAAGGTCTTTCATTCTGGTCCGTCACACTAACAAATTAACAATCAAGTTCCTTCCGTCAAATGTGACACTTTTTTAAGTTTTCCACCTCGTGGAAAAGGCAGGTGGTGACGAGGTGGAAAACTTAAAAAAGTGTCACATTTGACGGAAGGAACTTGATTGTTAGACTATCGGATTATTCGAACTGCTTATTACCTGGGAGCTCGATTTTAGAACAAATGGCTGGTGTGGAGCCGCCTATTGAAGTGTGAAGGAACAGAGAATTGAATGAAAGATATTCTGAACAATACAGTTAGGAACATTGATCCAGAAATGGATATTCGAGGGAGATTCAGTAAATAGGTTACAAATGGGTATAATACGTAAAACAAATGATACTCGAACCTGGGAAAAAAAAATTATTTCTCGACATATCCTCCACCAACAGTGATACACTTGTCCCACCGCTTTACCAGTGCGTTGAAACCTACAGAACAGAGGTCTTTTGACTGTCGTCTCAGCCATTTCCACCCCTCCGCTTCAACCTCTTCGTCATCAGCGAAACGTTTGCCACCCTGGTGGGACGGCCTTACGCGACCAACACTTTCCACCGTAAACAGGAAACATTTCTTTGTAACTATCTTTGCATGTAGTCATCTTGCCCACAAAAAAAAACTAACAACAGAACGCTGCTCTTCAGTAGTATACCCCTCAAGCACAGTCACCATTTTGACTACTGAAACCAGCCTCTGATGCACATGCACATCTCCTACCTAAACTGTCATGAAGCTGGACTGTGCTGCTACCTAGTGATGCACACAGAAAACCTGTTACGTTTATTACAGCCGTTTTACTTCCATTTGTGACCTATTTACTGACTGTCCCTCGTATTAGGGGGTTAGTAGAAGGAAATGTTAGACTGGCACAAAATAGGAACATACTTAAATACAAAGGAAATGGAGGCGCATACTAAGAAATTACCAGAGGGAAGGAGTTACAAATTTAAAAGATTGGTAAACTGTAGGAATATACGTAAATAGAATACAGTTAGTATACAAGATATAAATCATGTGTTGTGAAAATAGTAATGTAAGCGAGATACGGTAACGTAGGTGTAGGTAGCGAAATGCAATCGCCCCCAAATAAAAAGAGAACAGACCCGATTAATCTACACTGACTCAGCAGCGCCTACAAATGCTGAAAGAAATGTCACTTAATGTGAACAATTATAAAAATGCTGGAGAAGGTTACATCTCAAAAATACAATCTTGTCTCTACAGCCCCCTTGGGCCCTGGCCTCTGACTTTCTCTTTCATCATCATTTTACAGGCGGTAGGACTCCTTGGATGGGTGATCAGGTCGTCACAAGGCCTCTACCTATACACAGAAGAACACGAACGGAGAATAAACACATACACATACAAACCATCCATGCCTTGAGTGGGATTCGTACCCACGATCCCGGCTCCCCGAGCGAGCGAACATAGAACATGCCTTAGACCAGTGGTTCTCAATCTTTCTGAGACCGCGGCCCGGTAAATTATTTTTTTTATAAGACGAAGGCCCGGGGCCATGTATCAGGCCGCGGTCCGGCGGTTGAGAAACACTGCCTTAGATCTCTCGGCTACCGTGACCGGCAGTATGGAAGTATACCAGTGGAAATTACAAATGAACAGAAATAGGATAATAAATAGTGCATATTTAATTAATGATGTATATTTGTTCATAAACTTCAAACATTTAAATGAATGTTGAAGTCATAAATTCATGTATTGATTTCTCATGCAGACATTAAGTTGTAGTGAATAACATTTTTGTATTAAAGAGAATTTACGCTCACATCCTCCATCAGTGTCATGGGTCTTCCTCAAATTCCTTTAATACTTACACTTTTAGACGTGTTGTTACGGCCGTTGAATCTTCCATTTAAAAGTCGACTTAATTAAAACAGATAAATAAATCCATGGGAGCCCACTAGTTTCCATCACATATGAAATACCTAACATATTATGTAACACGAACGTTCACTTTTGTGTTTACAACAGTCAGCCACTAGTTTCTATCCTGACCACAGTCATCATCCTATTCCTCTAAGATCCATTTTAATATTGTGACATGACGCCTGAAAGCCGGAGTAGTTCACCGCCAGGCAACGGTTTGGTAAACACATTCCCGCGAAAGCGCAACAACAGAAGATCGGTGTTTTCTGTGGTCCGCGCCGTGCGCGTATTGATACGGAACCATGCAGTAAACACATATCTGTAGCAATGAATAAATATGGAACAATACAGAATGCGGCGTTTTCTGTGGGGGGCCGCCCCGAGGCAATATAACGAGAATCTCAGGAGCTAGAATGAGAATTGAGTCGAGTTCCGGAGTTCCAAGTGAGGAGTTGTGGTTAAGAATTGAGAGTCTCCGAAGTTTGAAGTTGGTAGAATAATTGAGAAGAAATGGCAAGAAATACAATGGGCTGTGCAAAGAAGACTTCACAGTGAGCTGCAGTGAGAGTGTGACTGTTGAAATCCGTTGCCGAGATACGACTACGCTGAAGTAGTATTTAGTCAGTCAGGTACATGATAAAGTGAGTCAAAATAGCATCCGTCTTTATAAGCTTCTTCAATCTATAATGATATATATAACTCGTGCATCTAACTGCAGCAAATTACGAGATAAATAATTCAAAAATATATTAGCCAGAGTTGAACGGATATACACAGGATCCTAAATTACTTCCGTTTCTTTTTCAATGCATTTTCGATTTCTTTCTGTTTACCACCATAAATTCTAGTCAGCAGAGCCCTAATCAGCAGGAACGCAATTAGAAGAACAGATCCCACAGCTAGCGCCAACACAGCGATGACATCTAGCAGGAAGTACTGGTACCAGGTGAGGTCCAGTGCAGCGGAGCGCATGTGAGGAGCTCCCTTGTGTCTGATCACGTACTCCGTCCAGAACGCGGCCTGCTCCAGCGGGGTGAGTGGCTGGTCCCGGTAGATTCGGGACAGACGCTGGGCGTTCTCACGGTATCTGTGACAAACATAACAGTGATTGATAAAAATCCGACGCTCTAACCTCGTACCATTTAACTGTTTATGTCTTTTTTTCCAGATTTCAATGGCAAATCTGAAAGTTCCTATATTGTTTATCATATTAAGCGTGAATGTAACGCTAGATACTATTTCGTGAAAGATCACAAACCTCAGAATACTGTATATTTTTCATTTAAGAAGAAGTATTTTAACAATGAAAGCAGCAATATTGGTGAGAATATTGCTGATGTAATAATAATTACGAAGGTATATAAGACATACTTAGGGACTTCAAGAATTTCTCTGATAGCCCATGTCAGTAACTCTTCAGTGACGTTACTGAATTCAACCATAACACCATAGCCTGCTGAGACAGCCTTGCGCATGTTCAAACTCTGATCTCCGAATATCGGAATGCCAAGCAGAGGCACGCCCCTGTTGATCGCTTCCTGCATGCTCAGGAGTCCACCGTGTGTAATGAAGAGTCGAACATTGGGATGAGCTACAAGACACAAAATAAGCTAATGTCACAGTTTAAAAGCAAAATTTCAATGTAAAAATTTAAATGTACAATACAGAACATTTTACTCAACTGTCTTCAAGTATATATGTACTCGTACTGCTGCTGCAAGAAATTACACGTATCTCATAGGCCATAATACCGCATGTGAAATTGCACGGTACCTCTGTTACTCAGACAAAGTAACATTCGAATCAGTTGTTATCATTCAAACGTCACCCATCACAGGAAGAGAAACAGTCTCCATTTCGAGGTGATGTAAAGCAAATAAGAAAATCAAACGCTTGAAATTAATCACTACTCGTTTAGTTGAGTCTTTACAGCAGAAGCATTCGTAAATTAATTGTATACCGCTTACTTTGCCAGTGTGATTATTCCTATACCAAAACTTACCTAAAATGTCCGATTGTGGCAGCCACTTTCCAAGTTTCACGTTTCTTGGTTGTCCTGGCAATGTGTCTGTCTCCCATTTCCACAAAACCTGTTGCTTCAACTTCGAGAAGACTTTCAGAAAAGCATTTCTCTTGGATTCAGGCATCTGAGAGCTCTGTAGGTTCGAGCCCATGCTGAAGTATATCACACCTTCTGGAGCTTCGTCAAGGTACTTCTGCAATTCCTGTTACAAATTATTTCTTACTTATATTCTGTGTCTCAGCTTCTTGGAGAACATAACCTGTATTGCAACTCAACATCGTATGATCCATGTAAATAACACTTATGCTCTTGTTTGAGCAAGATTATTGAACATAAATCCCAACTGAAATCTGCAAGTAAAAAATCTTATTAACTTTCCAAATTAGGGCGCTCCTAATTTACTGGACTCTTCTAATTATTAACATTAGACAATGTTTCGTCTTATACAGATAAGTCGTACACTCCAAATATACTTTTACAAATCCTCAGTCAACAATCCCTAACCTACAGCAACCGCATGTCGTGGATCAGACGTTACCTGCAAGCCGGCTGTCAATAACGATACGTCAGAAAAGTAGATTTACATAGATCTATATTATTCTCTTCCGAGTCTTTTCCGATGTCATAGTTCAATCGTTCTACCATTGGAAGGAGTACAACTCATAATGTTTAAACAGCGTCGAGAAATTTTATAAGACTACTGATACAAATTAGAATTACGTACATATTAACTCCAGGTGCCTCACCTGCGGAAGTTTCTTCGGAGGTTTCACGTGCATTCCGCCAACCTGCACGTAGTTAGGCGTGAGCGGCTTCGGATAGCTCAGGCTGTAGTGTGTGTTCAAAAACACTAGTGACGTTTTATATTCCAGCTCCCATACAGGTGGCAAGTTATCTGTATAGTTGAAATATCTCTGCATAACAGCATTCTGTTTCGGCACGTGAATCAGTTGCCTTCCCACGTGTTTCAATGTACCAATAATTGTATTGTGCACTCTCTCCCAGAAGTTCATCTTATCTTTGTACTCGAGAAAATCATCGGGGACGTATGAATATGGGTTCGGACTTCCTACCCAGTCTCCCATGAAATTTGCACCTCCGTAGGTACAAATCTGTATAATGGGAGCATTGAATTTGTGAGCGAATCCCAAGAAACATTCCATTGAGAAGGCTTCGACGAACACAACATCGAAATGCAGATTTTTAGAATGTATCAGTTTCTGAATGTTTTCTTCTTGCAGTACACGATCACACAATGCCTCGCCCAAATACCACAACATTACTGTCTGTTGCACGGTCGCCATTTTCTTCATATCGAACAGGTTTGATGGAACTGTAAGCGTACAGATTTTAATTAATACATAATATAATTTCACCCCCCAGGTAAAACAAGAAATCTAGAAATGAATATTAGTACGCGGAGCTTTTACCCTGTCGCTAATTCTACATATAATGTGACATGAAATATGCCCACAAGTCCTCCATGGTGTTAATAGTTGTTACAATAACAAGTTGGAAATATTGTAAAACATTCATATCACCGTCAAACGGCATAAGCATCAAATGATAAAAGCACGGAAACCTTCTGTTAAGAATAGGCGGTGAAAGTGTCTATCGCCCCTATCTAGGCAGGCGGCAGTACCCCGCACAGCACTGTCTTGATTACGCCTCGATATGATGCCGTCACTTCTGTCACGCAGGCTGTCTTGGCACGCGAACTTTTAGGTGTCCCCACAGGAAAAAAAATAACCTACATCGAAGTTCGATCCGAGGAAAAGAGGTGCTCATGCAATGGGTTCTGGACGAACAGTCTACCTTCCTGTACAAGCAGCGCCAACCACTGCCAGACATCTTCCCCACCGACTGCTATAGATCCGTCGTGCTGAAGCCAGAGGCACATCTGCAAGCAGACCTCTAAAACAATTTCAAGAAATTCGTGATATCTATTGTTAGGCAGCAGACAGGGCCAGTGACCAGGTCTCCGATGAGTGTTGCCTAAATGCTGACGCTGAAGCAGGCTTGATACCCATATTCGCGGACAGAATGAGGACTGTTCCGGACGTTGATCACACCCTCACGCGTAAAATATTCGTCTGCCCACAGAACATTACGTTCAAAGGACTCATGCACCTTGGGTTATTGCAACCATTTAAAAATTGGATCCGTGAAGGGTCATGGTCTTGAAATGGATACGCAATACGCGAGTACTGGAATGGATGAAACTGATCGTCATAAAGCACTTCGAGGATCCTCAGCTCTTGCGCGATATCACGTGACATTCTCCACGGATCTCGTTCCAGAGATGACATAATCATTGTCCGTACAGTCAGTCCGTAACGGCATTCACGTGTGCCTTGCTACGCTGCCACATTGACGGAGACGCTGCTCCGAACGTCGAAACACAGTAGCGTCAGAACGGCGTAAACAATGATAAATTGATGCCTACTCCCGTGAAGAAGTACCAGCTCGAATGTTACAGGTACGAAGGCTTGGGAAGAGCCGGGATAGCGACTGGCTATGGGTGAAGAACCTTCTCCACGTCACCCAGACTGGTTCTGAGGCCCATCCAACGCCCTATCCAATGGGTACTGGGGCTCTTTCCCGGGAGTAAAGCGGCCGGGGCGTGAAGCTGACCACTCACCTCCAACTAGTGTTGATGTCAAGAAAATGTGGGTCTATACATCCACCCCCATACGTCTTCATGACGTACTGCTTCACTTCCAACTAGTGCTGATATCAAGAAAATGTGGATCTATACATTCACCCTCCCCCCATATATCTTCATGACGTACTGCTTAATTAGTCAAGTACAGGGATAATTTTAACCCCTTCTTTACGGAGGGTTAAAAGCATGTCACAGTTCTCACCGTGATTGTATACCTTGACCTTTCGATCGCAACTGACCTCTACCGTATGCCTTGAAAACACCTAATAAAGTGCCATGTATCACCGCAACAGGTAACACTGTTGAGACGCATGTTACATTTGACGATGATGTGTAACACGGAAACTGTGCGTCTCAGGACATATGCTGTATTATATTTTCGTCTTCTTTTTAATAAAGAACCAGGGCATGGAGGGCTTCTGAGAAAAACTTGATTTCATACCGTATAATTCACAATTTAACTTGTTCTGTACGACGTTGGGCTGTTGGAAGTACCTACTCTCGATAAAAATATAAATTTAAGTGGTGCCTTAGAAGATACAAAGAGTTGAACGAAGAAACCTGTTCACGTTATCGGTGTAATCTCCTAATTGCAAAAGTAAGTTGCCTTGTTTTGAAGTAGATATCTGAGACATAAATACTTCTTTACTTTAACAGTGATAGTTAAAAGAAAAACCATGAGTCATCTGTACGATATAAAATAAATAGTTTATGAAGTGCACTGAACTTGCACACAGTTAGGCCTCTCGTCCACTGGAAGCGGAAAGCTGCGGAAAGTTGCGATGAGGAGTTCGTCCGAACACGCACGGAAACGGACGAACGATCCTAACAGCTTGCATCAGGTTAGAGTGCGTCCATTGGTAGCAGCACTATTCGTCCGTGAACGCGCGTATACTTGCGAACTGCGAAATATCCAGATTGGTTTGGATTTTTCGGACGAAGAGCTGCGTTCACCACCTACGAACTGATACTGTTCAACCGAGAAATCTGTCGAGTAGTGTTCCTGACATTGCGGACGCCTGTATTGAGACAGGCACTGATAATATTACAACACAAAGTGAATATAATGATGCATTTTCTACTCCAGATTTTCAATCAGATATCGAGAATGATGCACCTGTAAATACGTCTCCGGCACAAAAAGAGCATTTCAAAAGTCCGCTAAAAAGAGGAAAGAAAAGAATTAATTACGATGACAAATTCTTCGAAATAGAATCTAAAAAGTTGAGCTATTTCGAAAAGAGCTCTCAAATGAAGCAGGATAGTGACTATCAATTTCTGATGAGCTTGCCTGAAGAAAGACAGCTGCGATTACGCATGAAATTGATGGATGTTTTACTGCAGGAACAGGAGGATCGAAACAGCAGCGTGATGTCCACGTCAAATGTTTCGCCTCTATCCCTTGAATCGAC